TAGCTACTGGGATGATGACCTTCACCCATCAAAATTCTCTTGGGCGAGTGATATAGTACTTTCCCAGTGTACTTTATTACAGTTTGATGGCTATCAGGGTTATGAGTTCAATTTTCACTGCGAGCAGTTACTTTCCTCTGCTGCAGCGTTGTTCAGGAATTGCATGGCTTACAGTGAGTGATGGTATAAGATTGTTATCATGAAATATTACTCATTGGGGGTTAACTACCTGAAGGCTTCCTGGAGTAAGCCCCTACAGAGGGGATACTGTCACGTTTCAGAAATCCTTGCGTTGAGTAGCTACTGGGATGATGGCCTTCAGCCATCAAAACACTTTTTGGGCAAGTGGTATAGTAATTATTACACCCACCACCGAAGCAGAATACCCAGCCTGTTCGGAAGAGGTTAAAGAGGTCCAATGGTTTACATGTCTCCACAGAGATGTCACTGGCATGACAGTAGTACCTCTACTGTACACAGACTCACGGGGCACCCTATCAACAATTTATTCGGGATTTTTGAGCACTAAGACCAAGCACACCGACATACAGTTTCACAACAGTCGCGACCTACACTCGAAAAGAATCGTGAATTTGTCACGAGTATCCACGGACGAGAACCTCGATGATCTTATGACCAAGGCGCTCGGCCCTGACATGCACACCTACTTCACCAACCGGATCTGTATGCGCACACAATAATTTTCCGATCTTTTTCTTTCCTTTTGGTTCTCATTGGAATTTCACTTCTCATGTACGGCGTGTTGCGAGCTGGTACTCTTTCCTAGCAGGTTTTTCCCACGAAGGTTTACTGCATAGGTTTTAACAAGGCTCGCGAGGATAAAACACATCTTTTCTTTTTTCATTTGTTTGTCTTCTTGCTGCTTATCTCCTTTCATTGTACGGAACACAGCAACAGGGGGAAGTGTCATAATCTCACGAACTTCCTTGTACCGCGTCACTTCCGCGGACCAGGTCATTAGCGATCACTCGCTATGTCGAGGCACTTCCATTATCCCTTCTCACATGGAGGTGCCGAGCGGCTGCGTGGAGCCTCTATCCAAGGCATCCCCTGGCCTTCCTGTATATATACCTTTCCTTCTGTCGTGTCTGTTACTCAATACACTATCTCGCGATACCACTTTTCTTGATAGGTTATAACCCCAGTGTCAAGAAAAGTGGTTCGAATAGAGGCCCCACGCCGCGGCTCGGCACCTCCGTGTGAAAACGGATAACGGAAGTGCCTCGACATAGCGAGTGATCGTTCATGACCTGGTCTGCGGAAGTGACGCGGTACACGGAAGTTCGTGAGATTATGACAGGTTTTGGGGGCGCATTCACTTGGAAATGTCCACCAGCCTCTTCCCATGGCGGGTACCTATTAGAAGCTTGCGGGATATAAGGTGGGATCCATCTGGCCCGTTATATTCGACACCTTCTGCCGCAGCGAGCTGGTTGATATTGCCGTTTGACACGGCGGCTATCGATGTATACTGCGAAAACCCTACGGTGAATGTGCACACACCTGAAGCCGCCGCAGGCGCGTGGTCGAATGACGCAAAAGCCGGGTTGATTGCTGCCAAGAGTTGCCGACGACGAAGGATGTGTCCATAGTGACCCAAGTGCCCTGGTTATCTAGAAGGTTTAAATTCTACTAGTCATAGACGACATCGCCGGCATCCGAGACCGCAAGATAACTGGCATGAAGGATCTTCGTCATGTGCCGCAACTTTTTAATTGCGTTGGTAAGAACGGTAAAATGACCCAACTGATGGCGGCCGGTAGATCAGGATCTGTGCGCACTATGACCGAGATGGCATCACTGAAAATAATACCGCTGCCTCTCCGCAGCCCTTCAGAACGAATCGGAGAGCTGACACGCATTCATGGCCAGATGCCTTTTATCGGGCACTACCACCTTGAGCTCTATCGCATTATCACTCGACAGCCTGTTCGCATTACCCACAGGCCAGTGCCCACCGCCTTGAATTATGCCTCCTGTGGCGCCCACCGTCGGGAGTGTCTTGTCATCAACAAATCGCCTCACCGTCGCCGCCGCCGTCGCGCACGACTCATCAACTATTGCTGCAGTCCCGTCTCGGTCGTCGCCACTGCCTCACTCCCACCGTCTCACCCTCAGCCATGAACGAATCTAAGAAAGTAAAGCTCTTCATATCACGTATCCATAAACTCAATGTCCCGGACACAGCCGGTCACCCGCTAAAATCGTGCCCAGTATTATCAACCAACTTCAAATTGTCTCTCAATGTTCACATCGGCTTGGATATCTCAGATCTCTTCCTGTGCTCGTACGGAGAGCGTACACCGACATGGAACATCTGGCTGGGAGTCACTGAGGTAGCCATCGTTCCCTGTTGAGACTCGAGAGGGACTCGAAGTTCGATCACTGTACGGTGCCGGGATGGTCGCCACGCAACACTCCAGAATGTACCGGGGCTTGGGGAGAGCGTATGCTGGTGGGCCACAGATGGGCGGTGGTGGACAGCACTAATTGCGCATGCGGAGGTCAACGGGGCGGAGGGGGCCCAAGGCAGACCTACTAATAGTAGGGCAGTTCAGCCAGTTATCCGTTCAAACCAGTTCCTCTAAACTCACTAATAAAAGCAAATAAGCGTGCTCAAGCTTCAAGCTTGACTACGTTTCAGCTACGGTCCTACGGACGTCATCTGTCCGGACTTATGGTCAGTTCAAGCCATGTTATCAGTACCGGAAAGCATATTCTCTGAGTGCAAGCAGACCGTCACAGACAGTATTCTCGATAGTCCTGTCCAGACTGCAATCCGGACGGGACGGACTGCCAAGATTCAGTCCCGTCGGTGACTTCGGGAGGACGGGATTAAGGTAACCGTCCCGTCCGCCAATTTTCCGGACGGAGTTGGACTGCAGTCGACTGCAGTCCTGTAGTGAAAAAACGTGCCACGCTTTTCAGCCCTTACCCCAGCAAATATGACAGGATTTCCCACTATCGTGTGTTTAATTGCGTCTAGTACCAGCAAAGCCGCGCCACAATCGTCGTCCAGTATCAGCCACGCCGCAGGCTCATGTTCGGCCCGTGCTCATACTATACTCATACGTCCCTCAGCCACTACAAGCACCGATAACATGCTTGGACCTTTTTCTCTTATGATTCATGTTGCCTTTTTTTTTTCTGCCCCTGTTAGCAGTAGACTACAGTCCGGCCACAGGCAGAGCACGTACATACACACTATCAATCGTGAGATGATACATTCCCGGCCCTGACTAGGCTACCTAAAAACAATGCGGAGACAGAATGCGGTAGGTGAGGTGCGGTGTCTAGATACGCGTGACGCGTTTAACTACCTTTGCGTGGCGACGAGGAAGGTGCCGACTTACGTCGGCGCGAGTCGCTGCCGACGTTGCGTTGCCGAATCGGAGACGCTGGGCGCTGGAGGCGGCAGGTGCCAACAACGTGGAGGATAACTACCTACTCTAACTGCCGCACCCGAGACGCTGGTTGTATGTGCTCTACGGATTTAGCCCGCGCACCGGCCGCCCAATCGCCGACTCCCGACACACAAGCGCCGAGTGATAGAGTGACAGAGTAAGAGACTCAAGACACTGAGACAGAGGAGTGCCGAAACGCCGCTTTACTTTACGCCCAGAATACCTTAGGTACGTCCAGACCCTGCGCCAATCGCGTCGGGACTCGGACGTTATCACCGCTGTCATACCGATATAGTGGATTTGTACTTTACGGTATCGGAAAGATACATACCGTACTACCTCTATCAACAAGATGATTTTCCGGCAGGTACTTTACGGTCGGCAGTGAGTGGCGTGACGGGCCTGGAGTCTGGACTTTGGACAAACGCATTCGCGCAAGGGGGAAAGTACCGTGAATACTCGGCTGATACTACGGTATTCACCAAGCCAACCCACGGGAAAGCCAAGCACCTGGCGCACCTGGCGCACAGCTTGCAGACAAGACACCCGATCTTGACTGCGCGCGTTTGCTGCTAGACAGCCCTCCACTTCCCGGCTACACATGCGACTCCTCGCCGCGTTCTCCTAAGCGCACTCGGCGCTGACGCTCTCGCGCGTTATACCCAGTATTACTAGCACCACATCCCCCACCACGCACCCGCAGCCGAGACATCCTACCATGCGATGCATACCTATGCCAGGTAGGCATTGCATCATCATCTTCTTCTTCTTCTCCCGTCTCAACCCAGCAGATCCACATTCCAGAACATCTCTTCACCCCTACAAAGTAGGTAAATCCGAGTAACTACGCCGTCAACATCCCGCACAGTGCACACTGTTCCTGCCATGTACCAAGTACTTTAGAGTAAATAGGAGGAAGTGGCTTCCGCGGGAGATTGAGCACGAATCAGGGGTCAGCTGGGGTGGGGTTAACTACTCTATATGTATGTAGATGGCGGGGGGCGGGCGGGGGGTGCTGGGGTGTGGCTTGTCGACGGCGACGGATCTGACACGCACATCGCATGCACATCGCACGCACGTCCTACACGATGCTACTAGTGGTAGATTGTTGTGGATACTAGATATTCTATTTCTGTACGGTTTGAAGATGCGGGCATGGGCAGGGGCACGGGTTGAGACTCGAGACTCGAGACGCGGTGGAGTATCGTTTCTGGAATCTAGACCGCCGCTAGAGGATGTAATAGTGCCCTGCGGCTATATTTTCCGGTTGCTCGATTTATTTCAGGCAATCAATTCGCAGTGTCAGCAGAGAGCACTTCTTTCACGTGCGGCATAGCGATGGAGGTAATGGATGATCGATACTGCGGCTACGGTGGTAGGTCTCGACTCCCACCGTCTCAAAGAGTTTGGCCATAGGTGGGGTCCGCGCGTCCCATAGATTGACGGGTGGGTGTCATCTGACGTGGTAGGAGGTATAGTAAAGCATGAGTGGCCAGCAGACCGTGCTGGGCAGGATAAAAAGTCCCGGGCGGAGCGTGAGCTGTCGATTCACTGATATGGACAATTAGATCGTTCCCCCTGGTACCTACTACGTAGAACGAACGAGATTCATATTGACAGAGATAGTTATCGATCCATCATGGAAGTCAATTCACAAACACACATACACACACACACACGCAAGTAATCAACAAAAACAACCAAAGAAAACCCTGCTCCCAAAATATAATCATGCATCCATATCCATAACCCATCTCACAGCCGGCGTGACCGAACCGAGTTTCACACCGTTTATAGCGTGTACGTAAAGTCTGGGTGATTCTCAATGTGCTTGCCCTCTTTCTGTTTCTTGTTCATCGTCTTGAAGTAGACGGACATTCCCGCAACAGCGAGGAGGATGAAGAACTGGCAGGCGACGGACGCCCAGAGACCCGGGAGGTACTTTGGCGCATCGACGGTTCGGAAGATGGTGGAAGCGAAGATACCGCCGATGGCGCCGAAGCCGACCTGCAGAGCCGAGCCGACGCTACGCTTCGAGTTCATGCGGATGTTGTTGCTCTGGTAGGACAGGATGGCAGGGACATTACCCTGTGCGCCGGCCAGACCCAGGAAGGTTCCGAAGTAGCGGGCACCCTCGTTTGTGGAATAGGCGGTGGTCAGAAGGCCGACGATGCAGATGCATGCCTGCATCGCGATGACAGGTCCGCGCATGCGCATCTTGTCGGCGAGAACGGCAAAGAGGAATCCGACGATACAGGCGAAGACGTAGGGGGGTGCCGACATCAGCTGGGCCTTCTCGGCTGTCCAGCCCATTCCCTCGAAGATGATGGGAAGGAAGTATCCGAAGGCGTACGAAGGCATGGTGGAGCACATGAAGAGCACGGCACTGAAACACCCATATATTAGCACGGAGATGCATCCGTAGGGAGGAGAAAGAAAACGTACAAGACCCAAAGCTTGAAATCGGACAGATGCGTTCCAACTTTGCCCCAGGTGATGGGATCGGCGGCCGAGTCGTCACGATCGCGGTCGATTCTGGCCTTGATCATCTCGACGTCGGCGGCGGTAAGGAACTGGCCGTTGCGCTTCTCGATGACCTTGTCGGGGAAGTCGATGATGGTGACGTATGCCAGAAGAGCGAGAAGACAAGTGATGACACCTTCGATGATGAAGATCCACCGCCAACCACGGATGCCAGCGATACCCTCCATCTTCATGAGACCGAAGGCCAGGATGGCCGAGAAGCCACCGACGACGACGGAGAACAGGTAGAATCCAGCCATTCTGAAGCGCCTTGTCAGCCCCCGTATCTCCCGATACACTCAGAGGATTTCCAAACGTACCGTTTTTGCACCTCGAACCGGCAGTACCAGCAGCTGACAAGGTAGACACAACCAGGGAAGAAACCGGCCTCGAAGAAACCGAGAATCGTACGACACACAACCAAGGTCCTCCAATCCTGAACGAAGCCCATTCCGATCATGACGGCACCCCACGCCAGCGCAATGGAACCGAGCCACTTTGCCGCGCCCACCCTCCGAAGAACAAGATTGCTGGGAAGTTCAAAGATGAAGTACTGTCGAGGAGAGTCCAATCAGCTTTTTTTCTTTCTGTTTTTGCGATTCTCCAGGGAAGCTTCTTACCGGTACGAAAAACACCAACAGGGCAATGCTGTATCGGGCGCCAATCTGCAAATCAAGGTCCACTCTCATACCCGCAATGTTGGCGTTCGACATGTTGGTACGATCGATCAGGGCCACCGAGTACAAGCCACCCAAGATTGGGAGCAAGCGCCAATCGACCTTGTGGCTGTATGCGACTTTCCGTCAGCTATCCATCCATTAATCCATCCATCCGCCGCCACCGGCCGCCGTAGCCCGTCGACGACTCGAAACACAATTTTTTTTGTTTCTTACATGATCCTTCTCTCGTACTCCAGGTCTATTCCGGACTCCCGGTCCGAAGAGCTGGACTTTGCCATGTTGACGTGCTCGACGGTTTCCTTCTCGACCGACATTGTTGGTTTCGCCGAAGTTGAAGTGTTTTGCGTGTGTTGTCGCCTTATCACCAGGACGATTAGGGACTCGAAGGGACGGAGGAAGGAACTGGAGGAACGGATGGAGAGTGTTTTATGGATGTCCAGATGATCGAAATCTCAGGCCCAGGTACCCCGTCTTTATAAATCCGAACGGACGAGGAGCCATGTCAATCGGCGGGGTAGCTAGCGCACACACGAGAGAGAACCATAACCCCGTACCCATACCCCGTAACTACCATAGCCCGCTCCCAGCGAGCCAGGCAGCCTGCAAGCTGCACGCTACCTGCCTGCCTACCTGTAGCCCGAGAAAAATAAATTCCACTCTGCTTGCTTGCTTGGTGGATCCCCGTCAGATCTCCGTCAACAATCGAGGGAACGAACTTACTCTACAAGCACCTGCCATGGCCGAGGTTCGTTTGGGGAACTATTTCTCTCGGCGGTCGACGTGACACCTCCCACATCAGGCATCGCCCCCCCCCCCCCCCGCAAGTGCACCGCACTCTGCAGCACATCGGTTGTGGAGAATGCTTGAAGGTTACGGTTAAAAAGCAAATCGACGAGGGCCATCCTCCCCGCAACTGCGTCGATGATGTCGTGCAACCATGCCACTGGATCCGCGCCAGTATTGTGTACGGTCGAGGTTGTAGAGGATGTAGAGGATGTATAGTAGAGTACTCAGAGTATGTAGTGCATGTAGAGTATGTAGCGTATGTAGAGCATGTATAGAGTAGCAGAGTAGGGTAGGGTACCCGTCGGCATGCCTACCAGCCCATTGCTTTTTCCAGGCGCGCACCACCGGCCAATCGCTACTGACCGATATTCAACGTTGACGACCCAACGTCCGCACATACGATACGATATACCGGTCGAGGACAGACTTCACGTCAACCGATATCACGAAGACAAATCCAAAAAAAGAAAACACAGAAAACAAATCCCGCGCGACAATGCAGATTGCTCTCGACCTGGCATCCGATCCAATGGGCCTCCACCCACCCAGCCCGAACGCAATCAATCAATCACGCAGATGAAAGCGAAAGTGCAGCCGAGAAACAATCTGATGCCCGTGATCGTGGGATGGATGGATGCCTTCCCACCACCACCACCGTGAACGTGACGGCGCCCTTCCCCGCCTCGTGATCAAAAGGATTGCCAACCGGCTCTTTTTCTTCGGAGTCGGTGCAGCTAACCTTACGTGGATACCGTATCTGCCAGTCCCCCCCAGATTTTCCCAGCCCCATGGGAAAGTCTGCGGATACCAAGGTAGGTATGATATGTAGCAAGGTAATATGTAGTGTAGTGCCAGACGGTGCCATACCGTGGTTATATTTTGGCAGCCCACGTACCGTACATATCTTCAAAGCGTGGTATGATAGGTAAGTACTTAGGTACCGTATAGTACCACAGATCGGAAAAGGCGAAGAATTCCACTTCGAGCCCCATTGGGTTTTGACAAGCAAGCAGGCAAGCATCCAGCCTCGGCTCCAGATCTATTCCCCGGTGAGGAAAGATATCGAATCAAATCTCTTTCTGCCTCAAACCTGAGGCAATACCTACCATACTTACATACCCGTTTGAACTGTGAACTGAACCCGTCCATGCCCAACTGCAAATTGTCATTGTCATGTCACTCAACGTTTGACAGGAACTAGAATAGAGTACTGTCAAGTAGAGTAGAGAGCTGGAACTTCGATCTCCAGTGTGTGTGATCCCTCTCCCCCTTTTTCCTGCTTCTTTTTCGGGAGAGGGTTTCTTTTCGAAACGATCCTCGGGTTTGCGACCGGGAATACCTAATAAACATGGCACTCTACTCTACTTTTACGATATTGCTGGCGCCACAGGTCCATGATCACTGGCTGGCTGTCAAGTTCCAGCTGGTAAGACCGTGAGACAGAAATCCGGGGTAGCCTACCGTAAGCTCTACTATTAGTACCTACTACCACTACTTACTCTATGTGGATATCTACAGTTCGGGCCCACGCCATTTCCCTCTGAACCTCCCCGCCACGCCCGCACTTTTCCTACCCACATACCATGTACATACCGTAGCTCGCCAGTACCAAGCGATACATACGGTACTTTCTACTTACTTGTATCTACCGGCCACTGCAGTAGACTCTAAAGTACAGTAGTCAACTCCATAGGCATGAGCGATCGAGACGCCACCAGCTCGCATGACGCCAAAAAAGAAGGAAAGGAAGTGGGAAAAAGGAAAGCCCTAAGCAACAGCCGCGGTACTTTTCATGCACCTCCGACCACAGCCAAGCCTGCTCGATCGATTTTAAGGTCAGGCACCAACCACTGATAGTCGCAGACGGGTGCTGTGGGTCCGAGTGCCACACTCTACAACTCCACAACTCCACAACTCCACAGCTCCATTCTCCATTCTCCACGCTCCACACACACGCATGGCTGGAAGCTTCCATTCGATATCAGTATGTATGTTTGTATACAGTCATCATGTGTCGATCTTGGTTTGGCACTCGACCACCGGTCCAAGCATGTATCCCTAGCCCGTGACTGACTACATAGAGTGCACACTCACCTGTGTCGAAACCAGCGCCAGGGCACGCACAGCACCATCGTTATTCCGGGTACACCGAAGTCCCCTCGATTCTTTTTTCCCGTCCGTTAGCATCCGACGTTTTCAAAAGCGCCTGCGAGCACATCCAACCAACACCCTCCCCCCTCCCCCAGGCGAAACCCAACCAAACCTCCACCTCCCTCTGACAATCCGATGATCCAGCTAGGTATCTGTGGTCATCGATTATTGGCATCATCATCATGATGATGCACAACCCGCCCCTCTACATACTCCAGCTGACGCTACCGGTAACTAGACGTTCACCACACCACACCACACCACACGGTAGCCCCGACCGGCCGTTGCGGTTATCCCAGTCTACATACATAGTTCCGTCAACGGCAGCGCCTCCCTCGGTCTACGGTGTGCGACAGGTGATGCTGGTGGTGATTGGCCAGGCGGCGCTTTCGAGGCGGGGATAGCCGTGCCAAGTTCTTGGTACTGGTGCTGGTGGTGATGGGTGGTGCTGGTGATATTTATCCCAGGCCGTACGTTTGGTGGTAGATATGTACCTTCTACAACGAGGTTGGGCGAGAGTTGAAAGTTGCGCGACGCCTACACCAATCCAGCCTCTCGCGATATGTTCAGCTCCATTACCATAGTAGAGGTACATATAGGTAAGCATTCACAACGGGACCTATATACCTGTGTGTCTATTGTTCGTCACGCCAAAGTGGCCGGCGACAAAGTCTGCAACCCCTCCAGCGACGGACGGGCTTCGCCAAAGTCCTGTACATACACACGCTAGTCGACTCGCGTTGCTCGGTTAGTCCGATGCGGGGAAACTCGGCTGGAAGGTTGGAACACCACTGTGAGGGAAAAACCTGGGGCCCCGGATCCAGTCACGTTGCTAGGGAAGCTAGTGTTAGCGTAGCGTGAGACTCGCGCTTGCGATGTCCCAAACCACTGAGCCAAGTGGACGAGCGGAACTCGATGCGGCGGCGCTGGGGGAAGAGGAAAGTTGGAACACATGGTGCCTCGGTGTCGGAACGGAGAGGAGCCAGTCGCCGCAAGCTACCTAGAGAACAGTGCGAAAGACCACCAAGATCTCGCCTCGTCGCTGCGCCTGATGACGAGGTGATTCGTGGGTCGTGGGTCGCCAGCCGATCGTCTGCCGATCGCGGCAAAGTCGACGGCATGTCGTTTTCCCCACACATTCTTCGCCGCCACGTTAGAAGCACGTCCGGGAGCCCCGATGCTGAACTCCAGTTGCACACGACACGAGTATCTTGGGTGAAACGAGCGCGGCTGCCAGGGCTGACTCGGTAAAGTACCAGTGCGGACAAGCCCGCTGTCGCACCTCGGCGGACACGGACACGGGTACGCAGTGAGGTTCCAGGGTGCCCCGGAGACGGCGTTTTCTTCTCTCGGCTCGCTGAGAATTCGATGGAGCTTCGAGTGGCCTAACCATCGCCGATACCTACTCAGCGAAGGATATTCTCTGAATTCACCATGGCTACACACCTCTGTACGTACCGTATTTGCATCACCTTCTGTTCACCACACAGAATGACCCACCGGAGCCTTCCCCGTACCTGCTTCCCATTTCCACGGAACGCACCCGGAGCATCGTGTCGGAGCCGCGATATAAGATATGCGATATCGACGGAACTTGCCCGATATTATAGCTGCCCACCCCCGCTCCCCGCATGTCAACGTCGCACTAGTCCGAAGAAATGATGGAAACTGTCGCTGTGAGACATGGCGATCATTCCATGTGTTGTGTCAAATCGGACTGAGACTAATCGCACGGCCTTGGGCCTCCGTCGTATGTAGAGTAGAGTACTCCCGTTGTGTAGGATGTATTTATGGTCGCCTCTTTCCTTTCCTGCCCCGCGAGGTGACTTTGATATGCAGAGTGGGTTGTACTATAGACCGTTCTCCGATGTCAACCCGACGATGAATGACTGCGCCCGTGCTTGTCTGCTACGATCTATAACCCACGTCTTTGAATCTCTCATAACTAGTCAACGTGGTGGAGTGGTTAACACGTTCGCCTGCTATTCCAACTCTGGAGAGCTCAGCGGATGCCTTCGGGCGCGCAGGTTCGAATCCTGTCGTTGACGCTTCTTTTGTTATTTTTGCTGCCGCGTCTAGCGCTAGCTTCTTTTCTTGTGACGGATGTCGCTGGTCGGAACAAATAACTGGTCGGATGGTGCGCTAGTAGTTGGAGGGCCGAAGGGTTTATGCGGGTTGGTCACTCGTTCGTTAACAGAACTCTCGAGTTATCGTCGTGTATCTACATAGCGGATTGTCACCCGCTGTAGCAGTATGTAAGTATTAATTTTCAAGGGAGATTTTACTGTACTTCCTCATTGTCCAGTACACCGATATCAACCTGCAGCAGTGGGGGCCTTGAGCCCGCTGGCTCATCGTCTCCCCGGTCGTCCATCATCACTCGTCACAGCCCAATGTCGCCCAATATCTCGATCATCTGACATCTTTTCCATCTTCTCGCCGAGCAATCGGCATCGTGCACTGCGATAATAGCATAGTAGGGGCAGAGTGCAGGAAACCGATCGGATTTCTGTCTCGGCGGCGGCGGTGCAGCAACAGTCTCCGCGAGCATCGGGGACTCTGACAGGGAAAGGAACACGGTCCCTTGTAGCAGGATCTGCAGACGACTCATGTATGACTACGGCTTTACAACTTTGCTAGCCTCACGGAGGGTCCGAGTCGAGTCGAGCGGGTTGGTGGGAGTTGTGATATAGCTGCCAATGGCCATCAATAAACACTGCCTATCAGACAAACAACAAACGGACAGAGACAAATATCTCACTCGGATGCAATTTACTGCGCAGGCTACCTAGTAAGATCTTCACAAATCTCCTGCCGATGAACCGTCACTAAGGGTGGTAGAGGCCCGGTACCGTAGGAACAGCAAAAACCGTTAACTACCACATAAGCAGTGGAAGGCTCGACGATTGTGTCCCCTCACCATACCCTCATCCGCTCCCATCTCCGCAGCGATCTGTCCCACCCTTCTCCACCGCTAGCATCAGCGAGCTCCGCTTCGTGTGCGCTTAAGCAAACTGACCGCGATCGAGATGGGCAACGTCAGTGACACGGTTGTCCACACACCACGCCACGCCAAAAAAAATCCCACGAGCCAAAATAATGTAAAAAACAGCCCGTCAACGACAAGATTCGAACTTGCGCGCCCGAAGGCATCCGCTGAGCTCTCCGGAATTGGAATAGCAGGCGAACGTGTTAACCACTCCACCACGTTGACTAGTGTTAGTACATGCGTCAGAAGGCACTCTGAGCTACAGGCTAATCACTATTCCGAAAAATAAATGGAAACCAAAGCAGCTTCAAGGAAGCCGTATTGCGATATCAAGCCTAACGGTAGATGATGACAGCCATCGAAAATGAGTATTTCACCCCTCCGGCAGCGTATAACCTGACCGCACGGAGAAGCGTCACCTTCCTTCAGCTTCCGCGGCGATCGTGTGCACCCGCCCGCTTTTCTATGTGCTCTTTGTCAGTACTAGCACGGCACGCACAGTCAATTTCCGTGCTTTCAACTCTCTCCTCCTCCTCGCTCTCTACTGAGGGGCTTGAACGGTCGAGCAGGACTTGAACGGTCGAGCAGGACTTGAACGGTTGAGCAGGACGTGAACGGTCGAGCAGGACTTGCCACGCCTGAGCTGCGGGGTGTGGTGAGGGTTGGTCCCAGTCGTGAAAACGGTGTGACCCGAGTGAGACCGGTTTCTGATGACATGAAGGTGGACTGCCAAGATGGTGTGACTTGAGTGGACCTGGGCAGGCTTGGGTGGACTTCTCTGTTTTTCAAGGCTGGACCTATGTTGTTTTGTTGCGGCGACCGGTTGTCTTTTGAAGTGATTGTTCTGTTCGTTGCCATTGTCATCGTGCCGACCCGATACGGCCGGCCAAACGTTGTGTTTTCGCCGCCCACTCTTATTTAAAAACGGGTCGCCGTCCTGTTTTCTTATCTGTCTTCAATCTGATGTTTGCTTACTCTTCCATGTCTTTACATTTTCTGTGTTGCGATCTCTACATTTTCTCGGGCTTCCTGTTGATGGGCTGCTCTTCTACAATTTATTGATTTCTCTTTCCATAACCACCCCGTCTGGGGCCTCTCACTACTCATCCTCGCTCTCTCCTCATCCTCGCTCTCTCCTCATCCTCGCTCTCTCCTCATCCTCGCTCACGCTCTATACTCTCTCTCTCCTCTCCACTCTCTACTCCTTCTCGCTCTCTACCTATCCTCGCTCTCTCCTCATGCTCGCTCTCTTCTTCTCTGCACTACCTGTCATTCCCTTCTCCTCTGAGTCTTCACTCCCTTACCAACTGCGTATTTCCTCCGGCACGCTCGCCCCCGCAATCGGACTCCATCATTCGGAATCTGCGCGGGAAAAGAATTCTCTTGAGAGACGACAGGTAAGCTTGCACTTGCATGTTTGCTAACTTTTCGTTTCCGTGATATGCTGATGGTTTATAATTGCAGCATCAACTCACGCCTTCGCGTGAAGCCATGGTTGAGGTTAGATTCCTTGTGCGGGACGGTGTTCCTTCGGCTTGGTCCATCTCCCCCGCCTGCTCCCACATCCCTTAGGAGAGAGAGGTTTCTCATCATGAGTGACGGCAGGTAAGCTCTGGCATTGCACTTACATTACATGTTTGCCAACTTCTTTCATCGTGAGAGATGGCAGGTAAGCGTCAACACTTGGCTCCAATGTTCTCCAAGCGCGGTTCTAATCACCTTTCAACAACAGTATCAACAGATGCCAAATAAGAGCGGTGACAGAAGATTGCTTCCTGCTGAGGACGTTTGAGAGCCCGCGCGTACGAATTTCGCGCCGTATTGTCGCGGGCCCGCGCGTACCAACTTCACGCCACATGGTCTCCCTCTGGCAGCAGACCTATTTTGTTTTGTCCATTGATTCTATTTTGTTTTGATCGCTGTTGTTCTCGTCGGTGGTGCGACGATGCAATGTCGGTGAAAGTTGATATTGTGGGATGTTGCCAGGACTGACGTCTTAGCGCTTCTATCCGACCCTTGGCTGCGGACCTTGAGAGGGTATTGGTACCAAGACGTTGGTCTGGTTGACGGACCAGGGTGCTGCAGGGGTGGGCCTCTTCAATTTTGCACGGCGGGTTTGTTTTGTTTTGCTCCCTTCTGTCCATTTCGACGATGGCGTGACGGGCTAGTGTCAGCGAACTTGATCATACCTTCCGACGAGGTTTAGTGGGATCGGCTAATTTTCGCCGCTTGGTTCTATGATTTAATCGGGGGGGTGCCCACTTTTGTTGGAAAGGCCGCCGCTTGTTAATTCTCTTTCCCTAACCGCTATTTTCTCGAGACTAGGTAGTTCTCACCTAATTTTTCCAAGTTTGCTTCTTCTATACTGGGTCCCTCGACTTATTTCTGCTTTCTCATATATAATATTAGATAAAGTTTGGGGAACGAGCTATGTAGGTAGTCTGTATGTATGACGTCAGAAGAAAGATTCCACTAGAGGCGATCCGGTTGGGCTATAGTAGTCAGAGGTGGACATTATGTAGATAGACCCCTAATCGGCACATAGAATAGACATGTTTCTATCATCTTGGTTTTTTTTTCATACCCATCTACGGGATACGACAAAAAGTACCTTTAGATACGCCGTCAGAGTTTGTGCACCAATCTTCACCCAGGACACTTACGACTCCGAAGAGCCTGCTTGAATTAGGCGTGGTACAAAACATGAGGAGGCCGGGTGGAGGGTTTCGTATCATTTTGTATTCGACTGTGTCCGGCCATGACAGTTGGCTTACATACACGATGTCCGTTTCCTAACCCTTCTATTAGTATGCACCCTCGAAGCACCTACTGAGATATGTTCGCGCAAATCTAGACTCAGAGCACTTTGCGATGGGATTTTACGTTGCTCTCCAAAGAGAAGCCGGCCAAGAGCGATGCCGCTACCGACATCGAGAACTTGATATGTTCGCAATGAGGTGAGCCGTGGCTAGTGTAATGGATATGGCGAACTAGCATCTCGAGTGACGGAGCCGGACGACGACGAAGGAGTGGTCAGCCTGGGATTGAATTCCATCCAAGTTCCCCGCAGTCGGCTGAGTGTGTCTATGAGTGAGCTATAAACGTCCGTCGGCTCGCCTGAACTCCGACAACGCTATCCCCTAATGCCGTAATACCCCCTCACGATATCCTACAGCTTTCCCACTTCGATCCTTCCATTCCATTTCTCCACGACCTCCCTCACCCACTGCGCCAAGTCCTCGATCATAGCCGGCGTACACTCATGCCCCACGCCCTCATACACTTTATCCACAATCTCCACTCCCTGGGCCCCCTTCAACTCCTCTAAGAACCCACGATTACAGTCATAAGGAACCAACTTATCCGCACCCCCACTCAAACACAGCACCCTCTTCCCCTGCAGTCGTCTCGCAACCTCCTTTACCCCCATCGCCGCGGGATCGAGCCTCTTCGCCGTATCGAGCAGACCCTCTGGGAATGCCGCGCACGCACCGATCGAAAAGGCATTCAGGCGGCTCTTCTCAGCGCGATGCCGCATCAACGCGCAGTAGTCGGCGCACCCAATAATCACCCCCGCCGCCTCGATCCTCGGGTCCTGCGTAACTGCGATCCACGCAGCATGGCCACCAAGCGACACGCCAGCGACGATGTGTCGCTCCACCTTTCTGCCCAGATACGCCGAGAGGAAGTCGATCACGCCCGCAAGATCCCGCGCCGTGCCGGCGTAGCTGGCTAGCAGGTCGATGGCGTGCGTGTCGTTTCCCTGGCGCCAGGCTTCGTTGCGGATGGGGTCGATGGAGCGCGTGCCGTGGTTTCGCTGGTCGAAGCTGATGCAGATGGTGGGGGAGATGGCGGCGTCAAGGATGCTGCATGCGAGCGGAGTCATGTAGGATGAGGTTTGGAGGCGTGGGTGGAGGAGGTGCACTGCGGTTAGAGTGCATGTTTGGGTCGCGGGCGGAAGAGCATTGAGGCCGTGGATTGTGGTGCTGAGACCGCCGATGGTGAGGACGGTGGGGGGGTATTTGGAAGTCGACGCGGAGGTGGGGTCGGGGGACTCCATTTTGGGGAGGTTCTGGATGGCAGGGTGACGGGGTGACGGGACGACGGGATCGATGGATTGGACTTTGGTGTTGTTCACCGAGGTACTAGTACAGAGTAGTCAACCCTAACCCGTGAAGTGACGTTTCGTGCTGGATTAGCTATGAGGAGGGGACAGTAACAAGTAGTTGATAAGTTATGTATGTAGTAATGCTGGCGACTGTAGCTACACAGGACTCGGTGGTTGATCGGGGCGAGACAGATGGGCGCTTGGGGTGTACTGGATTATAGGTAGATGATCGTGTCGTTGTACTGATCTTGCGACGAGCTCTAGCATGTATAGCACTGATTGCGGTGTCTCAAGTCAGGAAGTAGGTAGTGCACGAACCGTTAAGGAATATGATTGCTAAAACGGCGATCGCGATGAAAAAGCAATGAAAGAGGAGAGCTGACATTCACTCTACAGATGATACTTTTCCCCCACGCCTCGCCAATTCATGTTAACATCCCTTCAACCGCATTCCACAGAATCGTCTGCCACCGTCAGCTATGATGCAAAAGGGCTGACCACACCCGCGAGGGGTCGTCCAAGTGTTTACGCACTGTGTCGACTCCTTCTATTTCGCCGAATATGATCACCCAACTGAAATCAGACTTCAAGTAGGCCACCATGCGGTCGACGAAGAATGACTTCATATTTTGCGGGTGGAAATCTGGAATAACCTCAGATATCCCACAAGGGTGATCGCTAACGAAGCACTCGTTGTTGAATTCTGTAGTTCGGTGCACCGCAAAATACCTTGCATTTTGGCTGGATGTCCGAAATTCGAAACGGTTCAGTAAAGCGTAGAGTATCTGGTGTCTCATCAGTATCACACTCGATACCGAAATATTGTGTGAAATCTTGTACCTTAAGCTCGGAGAGAGCGGAGTAAGGAACCATATATGGCCCTGGAAGCCTAGGACCAGCACACGACATGTCTGACTGCCGTCGTAAAATAATGGGGACCATTCTATCGGGATCCCTGGGTGCGTCTAGTGCGGCAGGCGGCTTGTTCTTGATATCCATGGTTGGAGAGAACGGAGAGACCGACTCGAGGCGGAGATTGTGGAGGTGTGTGCAAGCAGGAAGCTTGCGGGGTAATTGATGATACACATTGGCGGGCGACGATTCCAACCCGCATAAAGAAAACACCTCAAGTAATAGAAGGAATAGGTGGAACCATGGACTTGCGCTGCTAGCCAATCACCAACCTACATAGACCCAAGAACGTAATTTTAAAGCGGCGATATATGATTATTAAGCAATTCAGATGTGACAGGGAAAATTCAACCGTGTCGAGCCATCACCTCCCATACACGACCTTCGTGAGTCGTTGATTCTCATTCCGTCAGTTTGATCGCATTCCACCGTGCCGTCAACCACGAGTCCAGCGTCACAAGGGAAGTCTTCCGAGCCCGTACTAAACTTATCATTCCGATTTCCCAAGATCCGATCGTCCACCTCGTTTGGTTTTCATCCGGGACATCTACATACGAGGAACGCTGGACGGTTGGTTTTTAACATCCGCGGCTGGTGAGGAATAGAAAGACAGGGGGCCATCTACTACGACGAACGCCAACAACAACACCAACCCTAGTTAATCCGTCCGCAAGTCCAGCTATGCGGCTCTCCCTGTTGCCCTACTGACTGCTTCCACAGATCACCACCGCCGCCATCATATTGCACCCCTACAAACTCTTCTTTAATTCCACCTCTGCCGATCTATCATCCTCCTCGATAGCCGACCCACCACGTCTTTCCTCCCATTCTTTCTCTCTCGCCTTCCGTTCCACATCGGTAGCCTCCAGAAACTCAAGGACTGCATCAGTGCATAGAGAGACAGGGTCTGGATACGATTCACGAAGTTGCGGAGACGCGCGGAAAGAGAGAGTGGTTAGGTATTAGTGCTATGTACACGTTACGGATCACGCACTGCACTTTAATATGTAGTTATTGGCAGAATCAATGGTATGATGGCGTGTATGATGGCAGAAACCAGTGCGCGGATTTTTGAAGAATACAATCATCCGAATAGCGACACATCATGAGAAAGCAATGAAATGAAAGATTACATGATCCATCCTGCCAGACCATCATCTTCAGTACCCTTGACCCGGACATTCCTATTAGGGCATCTTCTGGACTGCATCCCACAGTTCCTCCTACCACCGTCAGTGAGAAGCCAAAAGGCAAAACTAGAGGTCTTTCATGTACTGTACTTACTGGGGAGAACTCTGCGATTTCCCCGAATATTGCCAACCACATTGGTGTATAAGCATTCTCACTGCTGAAGAACAGCAGGCGGTCGACGAAGAACGCCGTCATATTTTCCGCCAGGTGTGTGTGTGAAACTTGAGCGATTCCATACTGGCGTAAATGTTGATTGACCGGTATATTTGGATGCACCACAAAGATTTTCAAGTCATCGTTATACCATCCGCCGTGAAATTCGTCCCGAGCGATGCGGAGGCCCTAGAGTGTCCCATCAGTCTCGCATCAAGGGATGGAATAATTTGTAAATGATGTAGGTACCTCAATTGTAGTGATAGAACTGTAGGGAATCATAAACGGCCCTCCAAGCTTGCAACTATTCCCACCATAAATTTCTCTTCTGGGGGGCGGGCTTTCTGCACTGACGATGACCAAGCGATTGGGGTTGAGCGATGGTGCTAGTATAACCGTCGACTTATTCTTGACGTACATGGTTGGTGAGGAAGGAAAAGCACTGATTCGAGATCCGATGGCTATGTAAGAAGGAAATCGGGACTGTAACCAGGAAAGCAGAGTTTTAAGAAGGAAGGCGGGGTTGCATGAAGGAAAGCAGAGTTTTAAGAAGGAAGGCGGGGGGTTGCATGAAGGAAAGTGGAGTCGTACGAGGGAAAGCGAGGTCGTGAGTGGTAGGGTACCCGCTGGCGGCTACAAGGTGACGGATCGGGCGCTGACTTCGGGAGCTGACCACGAGAAAACACGTGATGATAGGGAAGATTGGTAGAGCCGTGGTCAAGACTCGTTGAAGAATACTAATACTCGCTGGAATAGGATGCATTACGAATCAATGAAGAACGAGAGCCGAGTTCCACAATTGCCGGAATGCGATGATACCTACATTGTAATCAATGAAGAAAGAGAGTTGAGTTTCCAATAGACCATCCCTTTTGATGCCCGATCGTCGCCAATTCCTATAACTATCTGGTCAACCGTAGCCCACAGAGTCGTCTACCACCGTAAAGGAGAGGGCTTTCGAGTACGTACAAGGTGCAACTCTCCGATTTCTCCGAACATACCCACCGCGTGCTTTTGCTGCGGTCGAAGCAGAACACTACGCGGTCGTCGACGACAAAAGACTCCGTATTCTGCGCGTGATACGTGATAAACTCGTAAAACCTCAGCTATTCCACGCTGGTATTCGGAACCAAGACGATTGTGCTGAATGACACTTCACCGCACCGCAAACATCCTCATTATTCTGGTGACCCGAATAATTTACAGTTGTATTTCTTATAGTATTTGAGAGTCCCCTTCAGTACTCTATCCCATCAGTCGCACATCCAGGGATGATATATCGCAAACCCGCGTACCTCGAAATTAGAGATAGAGCTGCAGGGGATCATAAAGTTTGACACCGGTACATACCTTAAGTGGCCCATCAGATGCTTCTCCACGGGGCGCCTGTACTCCAATGACAGCGATCGTTTTGTTGGGGTTGATCGGTGCACTAGGTGCAGTAAACGACCTATTCCTGCTATCCATGCTTTGGGGAAATGGACAGCCGGACTCGAGATCCTAGATTGAGAAGACGGGTATAAGAAGGAGAGCGGCGTCATTTCTGAGGGTTCCAGCACGAAAAAATATCACCTGATCTAACGCAAGGTGCCTCACTGGCGGAAACACTGAAGTGGCACTTCCATCCATGCAAATAGACGGGACCGAAGCCACAGTGCGTGGTCGAGAAGGAATGTGATTGCTGAACGACGATACACGATGATGAAGCAATAAGAAATGAGATGCCATCCACTCTGCCAGGCCATCCCGTCCCATGTACCCGTGCCTCGTCTGTTCCTCCTCCATCTCTTCGATCGCTTCGCACTCTGACCTCTATCACTGCATGCATCAACAATCAGACACATACGCGTCCGTGCGTAGTTGACTCCAGACTCGATTCCTCAAACACCATGTCCACTTCCCGCTTGCGTTCCGGGCATCCGGCACGAAGGATGCCCCACTGCCCTTACGGAACGCATGGTAGTGGAAAGACCTCCGAGCACATACATTACATACCAGCTCGGACGCTCCAATTTCCCCAAAAATCATCGTCCACTCCAAAGTGCTTTCGTCCCAGCAGAACACCACCCGTTCGAGTAAGGACCACTCAAGATGTATTTCCCACAGCAAAATTTCAGAACCTCAGCCACCCCACACGGGTGCTCGTGCACGGGAGCGAGAGCAGTATTATCGAATAGTATAATTCGGTGAATCGCACTGATCCTTCTTTTCTCCCTGTACGCCGAATCACTGGGGTCGTCCATTATCCGGTGGAGCGGAGTTTCAGGCTCGGTGTGCCATATGGGTGCACAACCGCAGTCGCGAAACGAATTAGGTCCCGCTCAGATGTTAACCAGTGAATCGTCATCAAAAGTTAACAGGAGCATCTCCGTACCCAGCGGCAGAGTCGACGGTGGTAGCTACCACCATTGCCTCTGGAAGGTGAAGAATGGCCAGTTTGGTGGTTGTGTCGGTGGTAAAATGAGATGACGGTAGGTCGAGATTATTGCCCATAATCCGTCGGCCCTCAGGTACAGCCTGGGGCCTGACACTGTATCGTAACGATCAGCAGAGCTCCTTCATAGAGTGTTACGAGTCGTAGGGGTTAAAAGGAAGATTTGAGGTGGTGGGAGAGTTGGTAAGTGAAGGAGAGGAGCATCCATTATTCGAATCTGGACATCTGGGTGGAAAGTGCAACTTAAATCATCGTTCATAAAACGAGATAGGCACCTCGCCACTCGTCGCAGTGCGAGTCCATTGCGCTGTGCATGAGACAGGATCACTAGGGATCAGTCGTCATCCTGCACATAGTTTCCTTGAACCAAGGAAACCCAGATATGAATCCCATTTGCGCAGTATGTTTCTTAGACGGCCGACCCATCACGGTAGGCGCGGAATTAGCGGAGAGAAGCGTCATATCCACCCGTCCCGGAGATTCGCCCATGATCCACGAGCAGCCTTGTGACTCTGGGGGAACTTTATGATCAGCTCTATAATTTATGGAAAGGGACGTCTCTCAACGAGGCCTGAACTCTCCGTAAGTAGCCAATCACCCTGCACTTGGACTTTCTCTCACGATGTCGACCATATGATGGTATGGCGTTCGTCGTCCCTCGCCGAAGAGAATAGAGCTGTAATCGACGGAATCTATCAAACAATGATGGGAGTATCTTGTTGACAGGAGCTGTATGTCCAGTGCCGCGGAGGTAGTGTGAATCGAAGTCCGCCGTGGTGCGTCGCTGGTTTCATGGCCCGGTGTCAGCAACGCTACTCGGTGTGTGTCAGGAGACGACGGAGCAACTTAGCATGAAAGAACGTATCAGATACTGGGAAGGGGGCACAAAACAGGGTAACATAAATGCAGTCACTCGAACAGTTGCCGGATAGACCAAGTGACCGAGTGAGAGCATGAGATTAAGGGAGCATCATTCAAGGTTGGTTTTACTTGTGTCGGCCCGAGGCGGATGGGAAGGGGAAGTGGGGCGCCGCATTGGACTGGTCGGCACCGGGGTCCGGGGTCCGGGGCTTTCACCTCGACTGGCCAGGGCGGGCAGGAAACGGAGTTTGTGGGTTCGCCATAGCTTAGATAGGCTGCATGCGAAATAAAACAGGAAGATCTCTCTCTCACTCAAGGTTCGTCGATGAGCAAAGTACCGAACCCGATAATCGCAATTGCACCCCCGTGCCGAATTGGCCGACAACCCGAATAACCATCTCACGACAGAAAGTAAACAGGACATACGGGAGGCAGGAATCCAGTCCCGGTACATTCGAAGAGTCGTACTGTAGATTTCGCAGCTTTTTTTTTCCTTAACACATCTTTCGAGATCTTATCTTGTATCAAATTGTGGGATCTTGGGTCTTGGCAGTTCGGGGATTCCTCTTTCATGTCCACCTCGACGACCTTCCCCGTCCTCTCTTCCTTCCCCCAGACCCTTCCTCATCCTCTATTCCTTCCCCCACACAATCCCCCCTCACCATATCGCTTTCCCGATAAACCCCACTGCTCCCATTATCAGCAATCCTCATCACAGACTTCCTTCCATACATCCCAAGTATTTTCCATTGCAACGATTGATTTCAAAACATCAATCGCTTACATTGGCCCAGTTAAACACACCAACAGTCAACAATGGAGAAGAAGCCTGTTGAAGATGCTGGCGAGGCGGCCTCCAAGAAGCCAGGCCTGGAGAACAAGCCGGCTGTCGCGGACGGTGTCACCGAGGCCTTTGAGCCACAGGTGACTGTCTCGCCGGCTGTTTCGTCAAGCAACGGTGGAAACAAGAATGTCCCGGCCCCCAAGAATCTTCAGAACCAGTAAGTGTCCTCCAACAGCGACGAAGGCGCCGGCAATAATGACAAGTTCTCTTGCAGCGGAAACCCCACCACCGCCACCACTTCGCAGGTTGAGAGCGAACTCGGTCGCATGAATCCGACCATCCAAGATACGCCCGCTATGGCAGGTGATGTCGCCGCCACGGCCTCGTCGGCTGTTCCCATCGCTGTCTCCTCGGGCATATTATCGGGAGGTGGAATCACGACGAGTGCCGTGGCTCCCACGATTGCTCCCGCGATCCGGAAGCGTCCTCACCCCATGTAAGTGTCCTCCTCCTCCTCCTCCTCCAGCCAGCGAAGAAGGTGCCGGCCAGCACTAACGCAAAGCTTTCCTACAGGGCGAGAGGCATCGACCTTAGCCGCCCGCAGGTCTCGCGCGGCCCAGGGAGGATGACGATCGTCGTGCCGCGGAAGTACCGCACCGACATCCCTCCCTGCGAAACTTGCGTACACAACAGGAACCGCGACCAGCACGCGGACGCTGAAGATACCACAGAACCCGAGTCCTACTCGGATGACTCGTCCGATGAGGAGCTCGAGGAGTACCCGCCCTCCTCCTCCTCCTCCTCCTCCTCCGACGACGATGATTGGTAGCTTACGCCCTTGCTAATGTAAGCCGCTATGCTCACCACCACCACTGGTCGCTAGACTGGAGGAGCATGGCATCAAGAACTAATATGGTACGGTTAGATGAAGTTGTTGCCGAAGCAATGGTCCGATTGTGAGGGGGAGTTGCGTGCTGCCCTTTTCTAACCGCCGAGGCGGCTTCTTCTACTAGTTAACTGTTACTGTTTCCCCACTTTCCCGCTGTTTGTTTTTTCGGCCCTGCGAGGTCTCTTCTGCTCTCTGTTTTTCGACCCTACGAGGTCTCTTCTCTTCTGCCATCTGCTGCTGTCTGTTACTACCTGCTACTGCCTGCCCGCCTCACTTTCTGCGCTTGGACACGATGTTCGGGGCGGGATGTGGCTGGCAGGGGGGAATACAGTGGGTTTAATTTTCTTCTCATCTTCCGGCTGCTATTTTGTTTTCTTCTCATCCTCCGGCTGCTGTTTTGTTTTCTGTGATCTTTGATCTTTCTTCCTGTTCTTTCTTCCTGTTCTTTCTGCATCTTCGTGCATTGCTAGCTCACTAGGATTCATGGGGCGGAGGGGAATAAAAGCGGCAAATGCGTACCTACCTAGGTAAAATCTGCACGAGTGATGCTCCGTATTTGTGCTGGTAACTGAAGTGCTCTATACAATGTTAGATCTATACGTGCAGAACCCGATCACGCCACAAGCGACATTGCTGACATCGTTATAAGATAGTGAACCGACCGTCCAGCCATGCCGAAGGATGAGCGTCCTCCGTGTCCGTGGTTTGTGGATCACGGTGTATGCTCCGGCGAGGGTGTCTTGGAGAGGGGTTACTGCCTGCCTGCCTGACGATCAAGATATCCAACCGTGGGTGATTTGAATTTGGTACCAAACGGTATGTACTCTCGATGCAGAGGAGGTGATAGTAAACGATCAGCCGTTGGCATGGAGGCCCCGGCTCTCATTACCGCCAACGCAACTGCCCAACGGTGTACACTGGTCTTGGGCTCACACTGACGGCGGGACTCGTTTGTCGCTGGGTAGCTATCCTATTACCGCGATTATATCTCCACCACCGTATACCCCGTACCGCCCGACCAGGCCGTCTAGATTTCCCACTTCGTACTGTGATGGAGTTTAGTTCAGCACACCTGAGAAGGGGAAGAGATGGAATTGGAAAGTCAATCAAGTTTTATCCCTCAGGGTTGGCCGTTGCAGCCCAGTAGGAGATTCATTCACACTCTTCATCACTCGCCACCTCCCCCCCCCTCCCACCCCGCACGATGATACCTAGTACTTGTTGGCCGAAGTTATAGACTCCCTCCCAGAACTTTCTCACGCGAACTGGGTTGCGGCAGTGCACACCGGAGCCTTCCGTACAGAATATCGTGGACACAGCACAGCCCGCTGCCCGCTGCCCAGCTCTCGATTGTCAAGCGGCATGGTAGCAACGTGCGGTAGGCACTCCGTAGCTTGCTCCTCCCCCATCGTCTACCTAGTCTGCATCCAGAAAGTCGTATCATCGCAATAGGTGTATTCGAATCAGGATTCAGGCAGGCAGTAGATAGGTGCAATTGCAATTTGCATCCTCGAGCTCCCAGCGGCGCCGGCGCGGCAGGCTCCCCGAGCCTATATACCTACTCTAAGCCTCACACCGAACCATTGCACCAACGGCCGTGTTATAGTATAACCGTGCTGTACTGTATACGCACATCATACTGTACATGGAGGAATGGAATTCCTCCCGCCTCGACTCGACTCGACTCAGCCACGATGCACCTATGTAATATCTGCAACTGTAAGTCTGTAACTAGAGCACCTAGCCCGCTAGTTAGCGCAGTGCATCCATCATTGAGGAAAAATGTTTGCGGGATCGTCCAATGCACTGTTGACCGATCAGCACCTGGGGTACTGCCGGGCACTGCCACGATGATCACTCGAGTGTGATACAAACGAACGAAACCCAGGAAACCCAGGAAAGTACGAAAGTAGAAAAATCCGCTTCTAGGATACTTCCCGGGGGCATATTGACCATCACTCCACTGCCACGGACCACGCGCGGTACGGTAGCGAGTTGCGAGTCGGACGTGATCACCTACCGGGAAGGTTTGGCGAGGTTACATACCATAGCCACAATGACGAGCAAGGCCTGCAAGGGCTACGAGGGCTGCACTTGGCTGGCAAAGAGGCTCTCGCGAGGCGGGTGGGGCTGAGGCTGAGACCGGGAGGGGCCGGTGCACGGTGTATATGGTGCTTACATAAGTAGGTGCTGTTGGGAATTCCGTGGTTTGCACGCTGGGCTGAGCATCCCTCGCATCGCTGGTCGCCGTCGGCCATCCGCCATCCCAGTCATCTCCCTCGCGCCATCACTGCAGCAGTTGCGATCACAGGCAGTCACTCGCGCCATCACGTAAGCACCTCCGATCTTCACGCCCATTACCTTAAAGGTCCATGTACATGCCCACCTGCAGTGCAGGCTGGCACCAGTGCAGTCCACCAGTGCAGTCCACCAGGCAGCAACATTCTGCATTCTTCCCTTGAGCCTCACACGGGCCAGCACCTCGCCGGGACCATTTAAGCCGGCCGTGGCCGACCATGGACGGACGATGGTGCGTGTTCGCGAACACAGCACCGCACAGTACAGCACCTCTACTCCCACCCCTCCACCCACACACCCCACTACACCAGCGGAAATCATCGGCGGATCAGCAAATACGATCCGAAACGAATAAATAATTACTAAGGAAAGAAATACGCTACAATACGGTACAATGGTGCTCCAGGAAATCGACGCGGACTACATCGGCCGCGACCAGCTCGTAAAGCTGCTCAAGAGGAAGTTTGGGAGTAATTATTCGTTCCACGTATGTTCTCCCCGCGCCGCACGCCGTGACTGGTCGAGGAGGAGCGGCGAAAGAGAGAGAGAGAGACGCCTGGCACTGGCACTGACACTGGACGTGTTCGCGAACAGCTGAGCGCTGGCCATTGGGTCGTTGATGTGCCCGATTATATCTCCGAGGTATGTACCCAGGTCCTGGCCTGTCCTGATGGTGGCGGTGGTGTTGACAGACGTCGTGATAGTACGAGATCGAGTGTGCGCAGGAGGAGGGGTAGCGGAGCGGAGCTGGGGCTTGTGGGGTGGTGGAGGGGTACGGTAGCGATTTGCGAGTTCGCGAACTCGCGAACTCGCAAGGCTGTGGGGGCGGAAGGAAGGAAACTTGGCGATCGATGTTGTTGCTGTTGATGAGCGGACGGAAGGACTTCATTTGCTACATACTCCATCTACCTATCCTCTGGCCTGGCGGCGGCGAGGGCGGAGTATTTTGCCTTTCTTATGCACTCACATATCGGAATTCCTCTCTCGTATCGTATGTAACGGCAGCATTTTACTGGGCTGGCTAGCCTTTTTTCTTCTCGCTTTGGCTGCGCTGGGCTGTGATTTTCGCTGTGTGTGCGACGTGATTTGCTGTAGATTTGCTGCTTGATTTGCTGCTGCTGCCGGGGGCGGTGTGCGCTGTGCATGGTTTGGTGGTGGTGGTGGTGGTGGTGGTGGTAGTCGGTCGCTTGCTCCGCACCGCAGCTGCAATGCAGCAGCATGGCCGCAGGTTTCATCAAGGAGAGTGAGAGACAGTGAGAGACAGAGAGAGAGAGAGAGAGACCACGTTGGCGCCGGCTGATTGATTGATTGATTGAATGATGATATAAGACGTCCGATCCGCCGCGCAGCCACCGTAGTTTCATATTCCGTTCCGCTCCGTTTCTGCTTCCTCGGCCATCCTATCCATCAGCATGACTGCCACAGCGACTGCGAACGCGACCGCTCGTCCGAATGTTACCACCACCACCACCGCCACAGTGCCAACCGACGTGCCGACGGGCCTGCAGCACCACAACCCGCTCGTCGACGATGTCGCCGCGCGCAACGGTCGCCTCACCGCCGATCGCGACCGCCTCTTTGCGCCAGAGCAGATCTCGATCGATACGCTCGACGTCAACCTGAGCGCCGAGGGGGAGCAGTGCGAAGGTTAGTCGCGGTCGCTCGTGCGGGGGGATGGCGGGGGAGGGGGGGGGTGGGGGGGGGGGGGGGGCGCGCGAACAGAACAGCCAGTTGACCTAGCTGCAGTGAAGCGAACATGGACGGACGCTGCCGAGTTCAGTGCGCAATGTCTGCAGCAGCCCACTCACGACAGTCGCTACTACATCCTGAAGCCGTTCCGGCCGAAGGTGATATCGCGGTCGCCGCTGCACATTACGGAGGAGGCGGCGCGGCAGCTGCTCGCGACGCACGAGGTCATGCCGAGTTTTCTCGACCACCTACATGCGTACGGTCGGCGCAAGAACCGCGAGCAGGATGGATGCTTCGGTGGTGGACGCTATCTCCTCGGGTTCTCCGAGGAGTCAAAGGTTACCCAGCACGAGATCGCGTATACGGTTAAGTTTGGCGTCAATAATGGCCGCAAGGAGGAGACCAGCCCGTATCTGTACAGCATCCGTCAGACAAGTGTGTATCAGAAGTTTTGCTACGATGAGCGGAAGTCCGTGTGGATCCTGGTGCAGCCGTCGGACGCGGTGCAGCGGCGGCTGTACGCGGCGGCGCCAAAGGAGGTGGTCCTGGCTGGCGGGAACCCGCTCAAGATGCATCTGCTGTTCTTCTCTGCGGCGAGCGAGGGGTGGCGGGACTACTACAACCACCTTGAAAAGATCTTCTACGAGACGACGGCGGCGGCCGTCAACTACACCGTGCAGCGGAGCAACGAGAAGTACACGCCGCAGGGCATGCAGGGCCCGCAGGTCCAGCACTTTGAGGGCACGCGCGGCGATCCGCTCGAGAAGTTCCAGGTGGATTTCCAGGATGTGCAGGATCTGCAGCGGCTCGAGGAGCTGCTCCGCCGCGTCAAGACTGCGATCGAGGTCAACTCCGACTCGATCCGCAGTCTCAAGGCTTTGAACAACAAGCTGCGGGAGCTGTCCTCTGCGACGACAGGCGGGATGACGCTCGCCGCGTGGAGCGAAGTTGACATCGAGGCGTCGCAGCAACTCGCGATCCTCGAGAGCCACAAACGCAACTTCGAGTCGCTGCTGCAGAACGTGCACGGCCGCTCGCAGCTGCTCTACAACGTCCTCGACTTCAAGAACGCGCTCACAGTCTCGCACCACTCCCAACGCGCGGTCGATATCCGCGCCCTCCAGGCAAACGAACAGACTATGATGACGATGCTGAACGAGATGTCGATGCGCGACGCCATCGGCGTGCGCATCCTGACGCTGCTGGCGACGCTGTACGTGCCCGCCTCCTTCGTGGCAGTAAGTGATCCCCCGTTCCCCATCCACCTCCTCACCCTCAAAGCCCGGGGAGCCAACTGATCCGCTAGATTCCACTCAGACATTTCTCGACGCCGGCGTCGTAACATTCGACGAGACGCGCAGCACCAAGGCGGGCATCGACTTCAGCCGGATGCGGGTGTCACGGGAGACGACTGTGTTCTACCTGGTATTCACCACGCTGCTGATGGCGATTACCTACGGCTGCTGGTGGCTGTGGCAGCGCACCGCCACCGGTCAGGTCGAGAAGAAACTCTCCATCACCCGCGCGAACTCTATGGAGCCCGAGAAGGGGCTGCTTCGCAGCCCCACCGCCGGCACTGCGGGAAGTAATCCCATGAGACAGCAGAGGAGACTGGGAAGTCTGCTCCCCATCTCGCCGCAAGGTACGCACCATCATGGTGCACCGCCGCCGATGACGCCCGTGCCGATGACCCCTATGTCACCGACGTCCCCGATGTCGCCAATGTCGCCAATGTCGACTAAGTCGAGGAGTACGTGGGCTTGATTTTTGGGCTTGATTTTTGCGTTGAGTGTTTTTGCTTTTGATTTTGATTTTTGGGAATGGGAGTTTGGGGGCATTTATTGGCGTTTGGGGATCAAAATGTAATGGAAACGAAGGAATGAATCATGAACTGCTATGCAGAGGATTACTCATGTTCCGAACAAGTACCTGCTATGTACCTGAAGTACTCTACAGCGAATAGCCGGCCATTCCAGCAGGAACGTGATCATCATGGCCAATGGCATGTACTATCCATAGCTGCAAGAATTGGCAGGTTAGTGGGCCTGATATGCACAGGTATGTACCATGTACTCTACTTACTGCCCGCAACCCACTACCTACATACTTGCCGTACTTCATATGTACAAAGTACTTGGTTACTGTCCACTCTTACTCGAACGTATCATCCTTCATCAACGGGCATCTACTCCGTCCCAGATAACGTAGACCATCCAAGCCAACCGATGCTCACGAATCTCAGCTGCACATGCTTGAAGAAAGTTGTCCAACACCACACCCGCATCGACGCTAGACCTATTAATGCAGGTCGTAGCACCCATCGCAGCCACGGGCTCCCCCGCACTCAGCCCAATCGAACCCTTGGGCGGGCGGGCGGGCGTGCGTGCGTAGATAGAGTAAGTAAGTAAGTAAGCATCCCGCGCTCACCTCTTACCTCCACCGATCAATGCACCCGTCCCCCCTTACGCTCCACGATGAGCAGCCGCGCCGCCTACGACGACCTCGCGCGGACCCTGGACCGGCTTGAGATCGTGAACTGCGACAAGAAGCCGTTCATTCCTGCGGACGGCTTCGACGGCGCCGTGACGCGGTCGTTCCTATCCACGGTCGTTTCCGACCTCCTCCCCTTCTCCGACGGCGGTGCCAGTGCACACGTCCACCTCCAGCAGCTGTACGAGTCGTACCGCAAGGTCATCGCCATCCTCGTCATGATGCGGTATGAGCAAAGCTTCGTCCGCTTCTGGGAGACCAACACGTGTGATCGCGACCTGCCGCTGGATCAGGAGCGGCTCGCGGAGATTGATGGGGACCTCTGGTGGCCCAAGTGGAATGGCCTGCAGTATAAGTTCCTCGCGAGGATGTACTGTGAGGAGACAGAGTCGCAGCAGTGGTCGGACGATTATGTCCTCCCCATCCTCGAGAAGGTCTATAGGTCCAGAGGAGCGTTCTCGGAGGTCTACAAGATCCACATTCATCCGCACTATGACCGACTGAATTTTCGGGGACATCATGAGGTGGGCTGGGGGGGACACTCTGCACATCTGGAGCACGGGCTGACACTCTTCCCTAGCCACACTGGTACGCGCTGAAGCAACTCAAGACCTCAGCGGACGCCAAAGTCAACGAGCGCAAACTGCGAGAATGGCAAGACGAAGTTGCGGCAAACGCGCTGGTGCGCAAGCAGCAACACAACAACTACGCATACAGCAGCATCCTGCCGCTGCTGCACTCGCACACGTATGGCAAGCAGTGCAATCTCGTCTTTCCACTCGCAAACTACAACCTGCGCGAGTTCTATGCGAAGGAGCCAATGCCCCCCTCCAGTCTCCACCGCTTCAGGTTTGTAGAACAGATCTCGAGGCTCGTACCAGCGCTCGGATTGATACATCAGGGAGAGATTGATTCTACCTGCCAGTGGCAGTGGATCGGCCTGCATCGCGATTTGAAACCAGGTTTGCTCCCGGGAGACGAGTGGAGTGCGGAGCTAGGCTGGGCTGGGCTGGCGGCGCTAACTAACGCACCGCAGATAACATCCTCGTAGTGTGCGGCATGACGCCGCGCTTCATGATCTCTGACCTTGGGCTCATGAAGTTCCGCAAGGTGAAGTCGGGGTCGCGCGAGTACTCCGGCGAGGAGTGGAAGCTCGGTGTGTCCGCGTACAAGGCGCCGGAGTGCGACGTCAAGGGCAAGCGCGTGGGGCGCGGCGCCGACATCTGGAGCTTGGGGTGCATACTCGCCGAGGCGATCACGTGGTGCGTCTGCGGCCTCCAGGGCATCCGCGAGTTCCAGCGCCGAAGGTCGACCGAGGACTCGTACGGCGACTCGTCGGACGTGTTTTTTTGCAAGAGCGGCTCGCCGGGCGCGAAGGAGGTGCCGCGCTTGAAGACCGAGGTGCTGGATTGGTTCGCAGAGGTGAAGAAGGCCGCTGGCGAAGAGGACCGGTTGGTCGCTGAGACGCTGGCGCTGGTCGAGCTGATGCTGAAGGAGAACGACCGGGGCGCGAAGGGCCGCCCCAGCGCGGAAAAGATCGATTGCGCGTTCTACACGATCCTGAAGCAGGAGGCTTCGAAGCAGGCGTGGCCACTGTCGATTTCGGAGCCGGCGTACTACTTCAAGAATCTCGACCGGCGCACGCACGCGCTGCCACGCGACATCCTGCCGTTCTCGTACTCGCGCTCCACCAGCTTGATGACGCCGACGACCCCCGGGCCCATGCCGTTCAGTCCGAATTTTCCGAGTTTTCCGAGGTCGGGCGGCCTGGCGAGCCCCGCTGGTGGTGCTGGTGCCGGGAAGCGCAGGAGAAGCGAGGACGACTCGTTCGTGCCGCCGTCGCTGCCGAATTCCTCGACTGGCAGCACGGTACGGCCCGTCAAGCGCAAGCGCGAGGTTTCCGCATTCGCACATCTGAAACGGCTGGATACGGTGAGCTCCCCCGGCCCGCATACGTGCACTCCACGGCTCTAACCACACCCGCAGATGTTCCTAATCGACGACTTCGTCTCGGAGACTCCCTGGACCCGAATCCGCACAACCCTTCAAAAGCTCTCCTCGATCGCGACGCAATGGGACCAAGACGGCGTAGACATTGCGTTCATCAACAGTTCGTCCTACGCCTCGTGCCTATCCACGCCGTCGGACGTGCTCTCAGCGCTCGACAAGACTGGGTACACAGCGACAAGCACGAGCACGCTCTCGTTCCGCCTGGACATGCTCCTCTCGTCGTACATCAACCTGTACAAGCGCGATGAGTTCACGAAGCCGCTCAACATGATCATCATCACCAGCGGCGACTTCCTGGCGCACGACGAGTTTGAGAAGGTTGTCATGACGTGGGCGAAACAGCTCGACGAGATCTATGCGCCCAAAAGTCAGCTAAGCCTGCAGTTCGTCCTCGTCGGCTGCAAGGGCGAGAATAGGAGGAGATTCGAGGACCTCGATGATGAGCTGTATAAGGAGTATGGCGTTAGGTATGCCCCCCACCTCTTTCTGCTTTGCTTCGGCTGTGGCGAGCTGCGGCGGCTGATAGAAATACAGAGATATGGTCGACGCCACCTGCTACGACCCAAACGAGCCGGATAGTCAGGAGGTCTTTGAGAAGATCTTGTGTGGAGGCATGATTGCCACGTACAATCGTGTGCAGGACGAGACTTCGGATCTGTCCATGATGGCGGTGGACCTGTGAACAGTAGTGACAGTGGTGACAATAGTAGGGATGTTGGGTGTAATGGAGTATTTCACGGATGTGAATGATGTGTGACTATGATCTTATATGTCGAAGTATAATACCATACAAACCCCATTTCTTGGCTGGATGAGGCTGGATGAGGCAGGATTTTGCGGAGAGAGTGAGGGAGGTGGTGGAGTGATCTCACGCAGTGACGCAGAGGCTATCGATTTTTGCACTCGAAGTTTGGAGATACCGCGGCCGACGTGAACCGCCCACTCTACTCTATATCTACAGAAACCACCCGCACTCCAAACATATCCAACCCCGCCCCGCCCCTAAGACTTCTCACACTCCCTCCACCTCCTCAACAGCACTTGATACACCTCCTCCTCCCCCCTCTCACTCGCCCAATCCAGCAACGGTTTCGCCGCCGGAAACGCTATCTTATCGACCCCGGCGCCCCTTTGTACCAGCATTCTAACCACTTTGTCATGCCCGCCCGCCGCCGCCCATGATAACGGCCCCCACCCGGCCCTATCCACGACCTCGACATCCGCACCAGCGTCCAGTAACGCGGCGACGACCTTCGCTCGCCCCGCCTGCGCCGCCCACAGCAGCGCAGTCCAGCCGTCGATATCCATGCTGTCCACCGCCGCGCCGCGGGAGAGCAGGAAGCGCACGCAGTCTGCGTGCCCGAAGTGTGCGGCTTGTGACAGCGGGGGTTTGCCGTGCGTGTCGGCCGCGTTGATGTCCGGCGGGTGCGTGGAGGATAGGAGCTGGACGATCGACAGGTGCCCGGCCCGCCCGGCCCAGGAGAGGGGCGTGCGCGTGTTGGGGGGGGATGGGGAGGGGGAGAGGAGGGACTGCACCGTGGGGAGGTGTCCAAGGACTGCGGCGCTGCAGAGGGGGTAAAGACAGAGGGAGCGGTAGATATAGTATTCGCGCGTGGGCAGGGTTAGCGTGCGGAAATAGGTGGATACACAGCCGGGGCGGTGGAGGAAGGTTGTGAGGGCGCGAGTGATGGTGTTGGGGGAAGAGGTGGTGGTGGTGGTGTTGGGGGAAGAGGTGGGAAATGATAGGTGGTGCTGCAGGTTCTGCGCTGCATATTCGAGCAGTGGGTCTTCTTCCATGATCCGCAGGTTCTGTGCGTGCGAATTCTCGTGCGCGGCTAGAATCGAGAAGGCGTCGAACGAGAGGTACGTTATACACCCTGCGGCCAGCAGCATATCGCCGCCATACTCGTTGAGGACCTGTTTCCGGAGGAGATATTCCTGCACCGTGTAGTGCACCAGCCGCACTGTGCCGCCGGTCTCGTCGATCTCGACAAGGCCCGCGCAGACGTCCGCAAGAGTCGAGGGATTGGCCAGATCCTCGTCGGGATCGAGCTCGAACTCGCCGGGTTCCAGTGCTACTGCGATGCACAGCTCGGCGATGGAGAGGGTGCGGCAGGCTTTGGTCAGCCAGGTCAGGATTCTCATAGCCAGTCCGATTTCGAAGCGGCCTTGACTACGGAGGAGCGTCATTGCGCGGTTGTAGGTGGGGTCCAGTGGGCGGTCCTCGCCGTCACCGGTGACAGTCGAGTCCTGGAGTCTTTGCAGTTCCTGATGCACTTGCCGCACTGTTGTGAGCTGACACAGGTGGTCGATATGGAATTGCACAAGGAGGAACCTGCCATCATCAGTGGCCGTCTACTCGCGGGCTCAAACACATCGCACCTACATCCCCTTCGCAGATTCCACGAGTGAGTCGATGATCTCAGATTCATATTTACTCCCCCTGATCAATTTCTGCGCCCTGCCACTATCGTTGATGCGAGCCTGCACATATCCGCGCAGGTCCTCGGCGCGCGCAGAGAGCTCCACCTTCTGTGCTTCAGCAAGCACTTCCGCTATGTCCTCGGGGTACGGACGGGAGGTGGCGAGTATCCGAACGCCATCTCTCGCCATACGATTGAGTAGCTCCAGTACGTCCCCCCTCCTCTGCGGCTCCAGTACGTCCCCCCTCCTCTGCGGCTCCAGTACGTCCCCCCTCCTCTGCGGCTCGCATTCATCCAATGCATCGGCTACGATGTAGACCACACCCGGGAAGAGCTGTTTGATCTCTAGCAGCACGGTGTACACCTTTTCTAGCCCCGGTCGTGTGCGGGTGTTGTAGAGCTCTTCGAGTGCTGAAGGGAACTGAGGCAGCTGCCGCTGGATCAATTGCTTCACAATCGAGGAGAGGACGGTGAGAGCCCTTGAGTCTGGTGACTTGTAGTCGAAGTAGATGTATGCCAATCCGGAATCCGGGAAGGCGGTGAGGAGGTGGTCTATTACCACTGATCTGCCGTAGACCATGGTAGTATCAGCCATCCGACCCTTCAGTGAACAAGGCAGTGACTTCTAACGCAAGAAATGTCTTCCCAGCTCCAGCTATTCATCATCAGCTATTCATCATCAGCGCATGCCTTCGCCCGCCAAGAGAGAAAAAGAACCCACGAATACCCTCCCCCACAATACTCCCCCGCCCTCGGCATCTCTCCACCTCAGAAACTCTGGACTCTCCAGCAACCACGCCCCACTCCCATCCGTCCTCCGTTCCCTGACATCGGCATGCCTCCTCTTCGCCGCATCGCCAGTACTGATCCATTCCAGCACCTTTTCCCTTCTCTCACATTCCTCGCCGATCTCCAGCGCCGCCAGGGAAAGATCCGTATTCAACGCATACTCGCGCAACGCCTGCGAGAACTTACTGCCTTGTCATCAGCGGCGTCTTCGCCTCCGCAGCATAAAGCGCAACCCACAATTGATCCACGGCCAGCGCCGTAGCCGCCAGAGCACACACGTTCCTGACCCTGACGAAGAAGCCCCTCGTATCCTTTTCCTTGAACGGCCACCGCCACTTCTCCCTTGCGCCTCGTGCGCCGCCCAATTCCTCGCGCACCCCCGCCAGCTCCTTCCAGAAATCCTGCAGCACGCCCTCGAGCCCGGCGATTCCTCGGCTTCCGTCGGAGGGGGATGAGGCGAGCGAGTGCAGAGACGTGAGGACAGAGGATAGTGTCTCCAGCTCGCTGGTGAGCAGCGCCAGTGTGGAGGGCGCGCTGGAAACGCTGTGGATGTACGCGGCTATTGCGCCCGTGATCTGCAGGATCGAGGCTATCGAGGCGATGAGTCCGATTGGTTCTGCCATCTTTTGGGAGTTCGCGATCAGGTGGAGGTGGAGTTAGAGGTGCTGCTGGCCACACTAATTATCGATTGCTTTGGCAGATCATACATGGTGGGGTACAAGGTGGGGGCCGGACTGCCTTGTACATACCATGTCAACACCCATGACCCCCCTGCCGTTCTGCGCAGTATTCATGTCCTCACGTGCACGACTGGGACTGTTCCATTATCCGTACTACTATTCATCCACAGAAGAGTCGAGAAACTAAGAACACATGCGAACCAGAATCGATACAGCGTAAAGTAAGAAAATCAGACCAACCACCACTACGCTTCCTCTCCGTCCTCGACCTTGGCCTTCTTACTCGCCTCCTCATCCTCGGCCTCTTCCGCCACATCATCGAGCTTTCGCTTACTGTTGCTACCACTCGACTCGGCGCCAGCCGCCGGGGCAGGGGCAGGCTTCTTCCTGACCAACGTAGTAAGATCATTGGCGCCCTTCATAGCCTTCTCGAGCGCCTCCTTCGCCAGCAGCGGGTCCTGATCGCCACCAAGGATCTGTCCCAGCAGACCCTGGAGCGCCTCATTACCCTCTGCCTCTTCGACGGGGGGATTCCTGAGATCGTGCAGACGTTGCTCCAGCTCTACAATCATGTCCTTGACGTTCTCGATCTCCTTCGCCTCCTTGGCGTGGTTCTTGTCGGGATTGTCGGTGATCTTGGCTTCCTCGACAGTAATCCGCGCGCGGCAGGAGTCGATCGATTTCTCGATGTGTGTTGCCGCGGCGTCGCGCAGCTTTTGCGCGTCTTCGTCAGACAGGTCCGGTTCCTGCGCCGAGAACTCGAGCGCGAGTGCCATCTTGAATTCTGCCTCCGAGATCAGAGTCGACTCTAGCGGGTATAGCTCGTGCTTGAGAACGAGTGCGCTGTCAAAGTCCTTTGTCGCCTGTGGGAAGTTTTCGGACTCGAGGGAGACCTCACCGAGTAGGTCGAAGACGTCGGAAAGCATCGTTTTGGTGTCGGTGATTTGCTGTGCGGAGAGGGTAGGTGGTACGGAGGCAGACGTCGAGGCGTCGCTGGTGGTTGGCGCAAGCTGCTTCTCGAAGAGGACGCGCGCGAGGTCCAGCACATCCCAGGCCAGACTCATCTCGTCGTCTTCCTCCTCCTCGCCCTCTTCACCTTCGGCTTCCTCATCATCGTCGTCCTCTTCATCGTCGTAAGCCTCGTCACCAGTGAACTGGAACAGTCCAGCCGGTTTCTTCTCCCCCTCCGTATGCTCCTCTGTTTCCTTTCCCTTCCCCTTTCCCTTCGCACTCCCACTGCCACTCGCTTCTGTGGGCTTCTCTTTCTCCTCGGGCGCGGCTCCGCCGAGAACATCACTCTTTTGGATCGCGACCTTGTACAGCGAGCGGCCGTAGAGGTAGAGTAGGTGCGCATTTGTCGGGTTGTCCTCGCCGTGGATCTCGGTCTGCAGCGTGCAGGCTTGCGCGTACAGGTCCGCCGATTGGGGGAAGTCCTTGGTCGCGTACGCCTTCAACGCGCGCGCCTTGAGGGAGGTGAGCTCCGAGAGCTTCTCTTTGTTGGCCGCCATTGCGTGTAGTTTTCGTGTGGGGGGTTCGTGAGAGTGGTGGTTGGTGGTCGTTATTGAGTGAGGAGAGAAAGGTGAAGTAGGTTGAGTTAAGTCAACGTAGACAAGAAGAATAGGAAGAAGATTTCCGACGCAGAGGAAAGTGTAAGAGTGAGAGTACGCACGCGAGCCAAGACTGCTGTGTTACACACACACTAAACGCGTCGCGTCTTCTCAACACACCGAAGAAAGTGGCAAAGTGACGAAGCGTGAGTGAGAATTAACCACGACACATCGCAATATCCAAAACACGGGCCGATCGATAGAAACAACACAAGATGCCTCCCCAGACTCAAAGCAAGCCAAAAACAACCCTCACGTCCTTCCTGCGGCGTGCTCCCGGCCCGCCCTCCAGCGAGCTCACCAGTGACCCCTTCGTCCCTCTGCCGCCCTCCTCCACTCCCTTCCGTGGCAGTCCAGCACCACCCCCGCGCGTCCTCGCGGTCGAAATCCCGCTCTCGACTCTCCGTCCAATCGCCTTCCGAGTATTCACAAAAAAGCACAATCTCACACTAAAATCCGACGCGTTAACGCTGTTATGTCAATTCGTTGGGCGCAAGTGTGGTGCCGACTGGCGAGACTCCGGGGCGGGAGAGAAGCTGCTCGATGAGGTTGCACGTAGATGGAAAAGGACGGAGGTCGCCGGCAAGATTTTGGTGGATGGAGGCGAGGCTTTGAAGACGGTGCTCAAGGGAATGGATGTACCGGCGGCTGCGGACAGGCCGGGGCTTAGCAGGAGTAATTCGTCGCTGTTGGAGACGGGCGCCGAGATTCCAAGTAGTATGCTCATGGGAGGGGGTGCTGAACCAGATGTCGAGATGGCGGAAGAGGAGAGGGATGAGATTGAGGATGGGGTGGATCCGGCGGAGTTCTTCAAGGTCGTGGATGCGTTTGACCAGCCAAAGATTGTCTACAGCGCGGTGAAGAAGATGTTTGAGCGGTATTCATCCAACCCATATGCCTTAGTGGACGATAGCTAACATATGATTGCAGTGGCCAGAAACCATCACTATTCCCACCTCCGGCCGCCAAAACCACGCTCTTCCGTTCTCGATATCACACGCTGCACTCCCGACTCCTCCGGAATGAATCCTTCCTCGCCCCCACCTACAGCAAATCCACCGCCTCCGCCCCAACATCCAACTACAAACTCACACCGATCTCGGCGTTGCTGGGACGAGCAGGCAAGAATTTCCTCCTCTTCGGCATGCTCGGACACTCCCCTTCCGGCACTCTGTCACTCTACGATCCTACCGGCGACATTACCCTCGACATGACTGTCGCCCAACCGGTGCCGGACACCAACGCCAACTGGTTCTGTCCGGGGATGTTCGTGATCCTCGACGGCGTGTACGAAGAAGACGGCCGCTTCACCGTGTATACAGCGCTATCGCCACCGCCAGAGCGCCGCGAAATCAGCGCAGACATCTACGGCCATGTTGACTTCCTAGGCACGGGGATAACGCTGGACATGTCCTCAGCCAACCACGGCGGGCAGCAAGGCCGCATCATGCGAAAACTCGAAGCGGCACTCACGCACGTGCAGTGGGTTGCCGCGGGAGAACTCGCCCTCGACGTTCCGCGCACATTCCAAGCGCTCCGGCAGCTATTCACGCACTACGCCGACGATCCGCCCATGCTATTCATCCTCTCGGGGAACTTCTCATCCATCCCGATTGCGCCGGGGGACGCCAACTCGATCCGGGGGTACAAGGAAACCTTCGACACACTGGCCACGCTCCTCGCCGACTTCCCGGGAATCTGCACCCATTCCACCCTCCTCTTCGTCCCGGGGGACAACGATCCCTGGGCCTCGCACTTCTCGGGCGGCAGCGCAACTGCATTCCCGCGCAAATCCGTCCCGGAAGTCTTTCTCAACCGCGTCAAGCGCGTGGCCAAGAACGTCCGCTGCTCGAGCAACCCGTGCCGCCTCGGCTACTTCACGTCCGAGATTGTGGTGTGCAGAGACGACGTCGTGTCCCGTCTCCAGCGCTCCGCAATACGCTTCAGCAAGCCCCCCGTGGAGGACATGGAAATGGAAGGCGACAACGCCGCCGGACCCACACAGACCCCGACACCGGCCGCAACAGCGGTGGGGACTGAGGATATCACCCTCGCTAGGAAACTCGTCAAGACCCTCCTGGACCAGGGACAGCTCTCGCCGTTTCCCGTGTCAAAACGTCCTGTCCTGTGGGATTTTGCGCCGCATACGCTCAGTCTCTACCCACTCCCCACAGCTGTAGCTACCCCCTCCCCCTCCCCCACTCATATCCCGTTACCCGCAGTCGCTAACACGTGATGTAGTTATTCCTCGTCGACCCCTCTACACAGCCGTTCACGGTAACCTACGAGGGCTGCCATGTAATGAATCCGGGCAGGTGTGTGCTGCGGCATACGGCTAGGTGGATCGAGTATGCGCCGGCGAGGGGGAAGGGTGTGGTCATCGAAGAGGGGTTTTGAGCGTATGTACTGGGGATATGTAGAACCGGTGGATTTACCAATAGACGGATGGATGGCCAGTGACGAGTGATGCCCGCGCTTCGTGACTGCTCATACGGTTTTCTTGCAGACTAGTACCACCTACGGTACTGAGGCTGAGTCTGCGCAACGACCGTTCGTAACCAGCCTAACAGGATCTTGATTCTTACTCTGTATCGCTATGGATACCGCTACCGCCATGTGTACGGTCCTGCTAGATACATGACGGAAAGGTTTCAGCAGGATCCTCCGCTACCGGCCGGCCGGGCGAGCAGATCCTCGATGTTGTGTGACACTGGCGGGGTGAGCTTGCCGAACACCACTGGAGGGATCTCGCAAGGATGGCACTCGACTGCCTGACGATTCCGGCTATGAGGGCAGAACCTGAACGTGTTTTCAGTATTACTAAGATCATCTTGCCGGACCGTAGGGGTCGCATAGATGACGATACCCTCGGAGCCCTGGAGTGGCTAAAGAGCTGGCAGCGAGATTGATTGACTGTGGCCACTAGGGGCGAAAACAAGGTGATTGAGGAGATGCTCAAGGAGTACTTAGGGGCGAGGCTTAGCCTATGTGTTTATTGGTTGGGCAGGTCTTTGGCGGGCATATATATGCACGCAATATCTCTTTCCCCTTATCATGGCATAGAAATCTTTTGTTTTTGTTTCATCATGATGTACCTATTCGACCTAGGTATCTAGGTCATGACCTTTTGCAGTCCGTTGTTACGGCACATTCGTCACCGTGAATCACTAATATCTGTCGAATAAAACGGTGGTAGTATAATGACTCACTCGTTTGCGAAATTCAGACCCCGGGCACTTTTGGATGTCTCCTTGATAGCGCCGGACGGAGTGTAATGGGGAACTCACATCGAGCCGACGACCAGCGGTTGCGGACAGTGGGGTGCGAAAGGATATGCATTACTGCCATGATTTAGCTAGGTAGCTAGGTCGTACGCAGTATGGGTCATCATCGTTTGGACAGTTACTAGTGATGATGGTCTCCAGTATATCTCGGCTGGGCTGTGAGAGACTACCTACGATAAAACCCTCGACTAGGTATCCTTAGCTTTGTAGAATCATAAGATATCACAAATACACCGCATGATCTTTACAATTTGGATATCCCTTTGAAAATACGAATTACAAATAGGAGGCTGGTCAATTTGGATATCAAACGCCGTACCGTCCCAAGCACCCAACTGGATATCATTCAGATGGCCGTGGCCAATACATCCGTTGAGACCGTCCCGACCTCCTTCACGGAAACCCAGGCGTCACCGTAAAAGACTCTGCCGAGCTCTGTGCAAACCCTGCCGTAGACTGCACGAGCCTTCTCATCCTCCCACACTGGATTCGGCCCCTTATCCCACCCATGGGCGACGCCTTCCACCAGCTCACTCCAAACCTTCTTCCCTAGTCCCCGAAGCCTATCCCTCCATCGTTCGCCCTCCGCTCTCAACTCATCCCATTCGCACAGGACAAGCATTATTTCCTCCGGAAATGCAGCGAGGACTTCCTTATCCCCCGTCATCGCGGGGGAAAGGAAAGGATTGTCCATCGCAATATCCATGGGCGGATGGAGATAGCTGGCGTCGAACAGATCAGTAAAGACCTTCGGCAGCTCCTTATCCGGCCTAATATTTGTGGCCCTCCTGTTAGCCCTCGTCGCCGTAAAATCCGTACTCGGATAGAACGCAGCGATAGCCACGATCTTCGACGACGTCGGTCTCGGGTGCAGACACAGCTCGTAGTGCAGCCGCAGCGGAACAGAAAAACACATGTTCCCGCCCGCGCTGAACCCCGAGATAGCGATGCGCGTGGCGTCGAGATTGTACAGCACCGCGTGCGTCTCGAGCCAGAGAAGGACGTCGGTGCCGTCTTCGACAGCGGTTGGGAAGGGGTATTCTGGTGCTAGGCGGTACTCGACGCTTATGACCACCGCGTCGAGCTGTTGCGTTACCGCGTAGCACCAGCGGATGTCGTCAAGGCTGTTACCGATGGTGAAGCCGCCACCGTGGAAATTCACGATGACGGGATATGCCTGCGGTGGTTTTGCGGATGGAGCCGGGGGAGTAGTGGCGGACCGGTGCGGGTGTGGCCGCGTGCTGAGCTTGGGAGCGACATACGACGGCGGTGTGAAGAATGAAAGGTCTATCGTACCCCGGAATTTCGACAGCGTGCTAGGGATGTGTAGCGTGAAGGAAGGAGGAGGTGGGACCGGTGATGCACATTTGTGAAGATACATCCCGGCGGCCATGGCCGAGCGCCAGAAGTTTGCCTCGACGGACAACGCCCAACGAGGCCGCGGCATTTTGATTATTTTTGCGAGATGTAATGAGATTTGTGAATGGGTTCGACTGTGCGATGGGAACAGTGGGGTACGGTATATATCGAGTTCAAAAATCAACGCTCGAGATGAGGCAGTGGAGGAGATTGAGGCAGGGTCCTGACGTCTGAGTAACCACTTAATGTATGTATGCCAAACCATGGTTGACGCCGCAATGACGTTAGCCGTATGTCATGACCATCCCCAAACGAGGCCCAGATATTGCCACAAAGCGGAACGGTGAATGGATGGCGAGGATTTCGGACTCGGGGGCGACAGTGCATTCGGGTGTTGAGAATGGGAAAAGTGAATGCAGCGGCATGACTCCGAGAGGACTCTCAGTGCGTAGCGGGTGATTTATCGTCCGGTAGTGATCACGATTCACGACAACGCTCCTGAATATCAGCGAGCACCGGTGTAGTGCACATGTTGACCGAATACGGAGTATCCTCGTTCCATCGGTACTACATACGGCGTCGTTGCTTTCTCTACCATCTGAAGGCACTAAAAGTACTCGTGGAGCCTAACCAATAGTAGCTTACTAAGTCCTCACCGAGCTAACCCTTATGGGCGCCCTGCAAGCGGAGATGCCCGCAAGCCACGTGCATGTGGCCTTGGCATTACGTTCAACACCGCGCCCACACGTGCCGGTCGCGGATCCAATTCACGACATCTAGCTCACAGCTCCAATCACCACGCACCAAACTTTCAAAACACCACCACTAACAACAAAATGCCTCCCAAACGAAAAGCCACCGCTCCTGCCGTTCGAGACCCGAAACGTACACGCGTCAATGCCTCCAACGAATCCGACTCGGAAGTAGAGACACGCGATTCCATTCCCGTCGCCCCTCTACCACGAGTGAAGGGAAAGGATATTTATGATCTCCCTGACGAGGATGACGACGACGAGGATGAGTTGGTGGCTGTGGTCAAGAAGGCGCCTGCGCCGAGGAGGAAGAAGGTTGTTACGTATGGCGCGAAGGCAAGGGGGAAGAAGGTGGAGGCGGTGGACGATCCACAGGCGGATGAGCTCGCGTCTATGGCTTCGCCGATGGTGACGAGGGTGGTGAGGAAGCCCACGGGGGTGAAGGGAATGACTACACGGGTGGCCACCCCTAAGGCGCCGAAGATAAAAGCGCCCGCCGCGAAGAAGAAGAGTGTGAACGGCGCGAAGGAGGTGGACGACACGCTAGAAGAGAATAAGGATGACGAGGAAGGAAAGGCAACAACGAAGATCTCGACGGCGCCGAAAAACAAGACAGCTCCTGCGAAGTCGGCCGACATCGATGCATCGAAAGCGAGAATGCGTGCGAAGATCGTGGAAACGGCGGAAGAGGAAGACGAGGCAGGGGAGAAGAGGGACTGGGGGGTGATGCCAGAGACTACAGGAAAGTCCCCGGAGGCTACAAATACCAAGTCGGTGCCTGCGAAGACACCAAAGGCGAAACCGCGGGCGAAGAAGGTTACAGTGGTGGAGGACGAAGACAGAATGGAAGCCGAAGCGGAAGAGCATGATGAGGAGAAGGTGGAAGGAGTGACGCCAAGGACAGTGGTAAAGCTTGCGAAACCCCCGAGAACGGAGCGTAAAAAGGGCACCAGCAGTGCTCCTAGAACGCGAATACAAGGGAAAATGGGAGTTGGTGTTCCGGCCGGCGGAGAAGAGCTTACACCCAGTGTTAAGCGGAGTGTCATGGTCCCACCGCCGGGCGACGGTGAGGCGAATGAGGATGAGGATCTGGTTCTGGCCAACGGTATGATTGCGCCGGCGAGTGTGGCGCGGCCCGGTACGGGAAGAAATAAGAGACCGTCGGGTGTCAGGCCGTCATTGGGTATTGAGGGATTGGAGGATCCGTTTGCTGTACCGAAGGCGGTCGCGGTGGCGCTAGGAGCAGACCGGGACGAGGAAGAGGAGGAAAAGGCGGAAGAGGAGGAGGAGGAGGAAGAGGAAGAAAAGGCCGCTTCTCCGAAAGTTTCGTCCGCAGCCAAGAGTCGCACTCCAAAGAAGGACCCTGTCAAACCCCAGAAAACCTCCTCGAAAGCTACCGCCGACGAATCAACACGATTGGGCGAGGACATTGAGGTCTCGGCAGACGCTGTGTCGGTGGTTCAGAACTACATCCTCAGCAAGATCATGGGCCGAAAACGGCTCAACCTGGTCGGCATCGATGAGGAATACAGCAATGTCCACCATCTCCTCGAACAGACCGTTACCGCAGGTGAAGGTAATTCAATGCTCATCATTGGTTCACGCGGTTCCGGAAAGACTACACTGGTCGAGACGGCGCTCTCCTCGCTCATGTCAACTCACTCGGGTGACTTTTACACCGTCCGCCTCAACGGTCTCCTCCAAACTGACGACAAGCTCGCCCTCCGCGAGATCTTGCGGCAGCTAGGCGTCGAGATGGAGCTAGAAGGGGAAGATCAACCCAAGGCTACCAATTTTGCCGACACCTTACAATCCATCCTCGCCATCCTCTCGCATCCGGATGAGCTCCAGGCGCAGAATGAAGAGAGTGACGATGCACCCGAAGACCCAGCGAAGACCGCCGTTGCTGTAATCTTCGTGCTGGACGAGTTCGACCAGTTCGCTACTCACCCCCGGCAGACTCTCCTCTATAATCTTTTCGACATCGCGCAGGCAAAGAAGGCGCCCATTGCCGTGCTCGGATTGACGTGCAAAGTGGATGTAGTCGACTCCCTTGAGAAGCGTGTAAAGTCCCGCTTTAGCCACCGCACCGTACACCTCAAGCTCCCCGCTTCGCTCGACGCCTTCTGGGACGTGGTCAAGGAAGGTCTAGTGATGGACGTAGAAACCGCCACCCTTCACGGCCGCGAGACGGAGCGCTACGCCGAGGCATGGAGCCGGTATATCGATGTATGCCGACACCCCCTCCCTTGCGGACCACTAGCTAATTTCCACAGAACCTGCGAGAAACCAAGGAATTCACCGCGCTGATCCGCAGCGTCTACGGCTCCTCCAAAACCGTCGCACCAATCTTCAACGCCGCCATGCTCGCGCTCCACACGCTGTCCCCGGCCACGCCCTTCCCTGCCGCCACAGCATACACGCGCGCGCTCGCGCCGCCCGCATCGAACCTCTCGCTCCTCCCCTCCCTCTCGGACCTGCAACTCGCACTGCTGATCTCCGCCGCGCGCCTCGAGGTCCTCGCAGACACGGAGACGGTCAACTTCGAGATGGTCTACGACGAGTACCTAAAGCTATGCACCAAGACGCGGGCGCAGGCCACGCCCAGCGGAGGCTTAGGCCGCGTGTGGAGCAAGTCCGTGGCTGTCGGCGCGTGGGAGGGATTGGAGAAGATGGGACTTGTGGTGCCGGTCGGCAATGCCGCGAAGCGATGGAGGGTCGATGTGGGACTCATGGAGATCAGGGACTTTGTCAAGGGCAGTCAGTGGGTGCGCTGGTGTAAGGAGGTTGTTTAGTGTAGTGTAGTGTAGTGTAATGTGTTGCTGCCGTACCGTGCTGTAGGATGTTTACCGTACGTAGGTGTGTCGTGGCGTGGCGTGGAATATAGATACCCATTCTGTTCTGTCTGTCTGATTTGCGCAGACCGCGATTGGTGGCGGGCGTTTAGGGTGGATGGTAGTTGATGGTTGATAGCAGGGAGGGAAGGGAGTGCTGGGCTTGATAAACAGTAGAGTAATTCTTGTAATTCTTGTATCAGCCCAACCCAATGACAATGACAATGACAACTGCCAGGCGGCTCGGCTGTGGGGATGAGTGAAGGTGAAGCTGCCTTCGATTCCAAGTTCCAAGTCCTCAGGTAGGTCTACGTCAAGGCACTCAGTATTACTACCAGCGATATCATACATACATTGGAGGACCCATTCAACCTGCATCGGACACCACTAGGTAGCCCAATGACAGCTTCCAGGCGGCTGTATATAGCCTGTGGGATGTGTGAAGCTGAAGCCGAAGCCGAAGCTGTCTTCGATTCCAAGCCCAAGCCGCCGGGTCTACGTCAAGGCATCATTACCGTGTCTACATACGATACATTAAAGGATCCATTTAACCCACATCCGCATCGAACCCCCACCCACCATGGACAACCGATGGCCGCCGTAGATGTCGCAGAAGCCGGGCTCCCTTATGTACTATATTGTATTTCACCCGTTTGATTAGAGCCCATAGGCACTCAAAAGCACACCAATACCCTCACCTAGCAAACCCGCACCACCCAAATCCCGAATCCTGAATCCCCGATATGTAGCAACTCCAGTCTTCACTCTTCAGTCTTCAATCTTCACTCTTCACTCTCCAGCACCAACACCAACACCAAAACATGGAATATCGAATATCGAATTTTATTCGCCGAACCCGATACTATATCCGAGCGAAAATCCCGAGCTAAGTACTTCAGTACCTACATGATAGTAGAACCATTTGAACCAACACAAATAACGAAAAACCGGAAGCCCCTTACAAGTGCGGAAACAAATGTGATATCCTCAACCAAAAGCACCAAAAAAGCGAGAAGAAAAAAACAAAAAGCAAGCAGAAAAAGCGAGAAAAAACACCAGACCCCACACGTACCCACACCCGTCTAATCTGCCCTGCCCTGCCCCACCGCCATTTTGTATACGAGAAGAAGGAAGAGAAACTACTACAAGTTTTTAATAAAAGGTACATAAGTAAGAGTAAAGAAGATCCGTATAAAATATCAGAAGGAAGAAAAAGAAGAAAGAAAGAAAAGAAAAGAAAAGAAAAGAAAAGAAAAGAAAAGAAAAGAAAAGAAAGAAAAGAAAGAAAAGAAAAGAAAAGAAAAGAAAAGAAAAGAAAAGAAAAGAAAAGAAAAGAAAAGAAAAGAAAAGAAAAGAAAAGAAAAGAAAAGAAAGAAAGAAAAGAAAAGAAAAGAAAAGAAAAGAAAGAAAAGAAAAGAAAAGAAAAGAAAAGAAAAGAAAAGAAAAGAAAGAAGAGAAAAGAAAAGAAGAGAAAAGAAGAGAAATACGAGTGGATGGATGGATGGAAGAATGGAAGGAAGAATGGAACCCCTGGGAAAAACAGAACACAGCAGAACACAGCAGTCCGAAACACCGGCGAAAAACACAGCAAACAGACAGACCGACAGACCGACAAGCGCTACTCCTCGTCCCTCGCATCGATCGGCTTAAACAGCAACTTCATATTATACGTCAGATCCTCGACGCCATAGTTCTCATCGATATCGCCGGCCCTACCGCCGGGCGGGGGGACCAGCGGTCCGGGGGCCGTCTTCGCGTTCTGCAGCATAGCTAGGGTGAGCTTGACATTGCTCTCGTCGCCTGATGCTCGGTAGCCGGCCTGTCTGCGACTATTGTAGCGCAGGAACAGCTTCCCGAGGTAGTAGTACTGTGTGCCATTGCGCGAGAACCCGACGCGGGATGCAGGGCCGGGGTACTGTGTCTGCGTGTCGCGGAACCACACGTCCATCCACTTGTCGAAGGCGCGGGCGAGCGTGGCGACGCGCCCGTCGTCGAAGAACTCGCTGCCAGATGGGTCCATTCCCAGCCAGTAGCTCATCCACCCTGCGTCTGGCTGCTCCGCGTGCATGTGGTGGATCCACAGCTGGATGTGCAGTGCGTGGATGAGGATGAATTTGGAGTGCGCGTTGGTGCACGCGGGTGGGAAGCTAGGCTCCGGCGACATGAACCGTTTGACCGCGTCCTGGAAGCGGATCTGCGTGCCGTTCTTGGTGCCGTGGGGGTTCACGGCGTGTGCGCGGTCGTGCCCGAAGATGCCAAGCGCTTCGGCACAGGTCGTGCCGTCCCAGGCCTCCCATGCGGCGTCGTCGGAGGGGAGAGGCAGGCTCATCTCGTGCGGCTTGATCTTGGGCGGTACGTTGTAGTACAGGACGTATGCTGTGTCGAGGAGGTATATGGTGTAGGCACACCTGTTGCGTCTTTCCTGCGTGATCCAGGACTGCCAGCTCCACGAGACGGAGCCCTTGGGGCGGAAGCTGACGTCCGTGAGCTCGCGATAACATGTGCCGTTTGCGGTCGCGCACTCCTGCCGGAGCTCGTTCTCGTCGAGCGATCGGAAGAGGTTGGCTCGTCGAGCCATGTTCACCACCACATCGTATCGCTCCTGCGCGATCGCTCGCTGCTTCGGATTGCCGTGCCACGTGAGGAGTACGTGCAGCAGCTCCATTGCCTGGATGTCTTCGAGTCCCGTGACGGATAACTCGTCGGACGAGTACGGCGATGTGCGATGCGCCATGGCCATGTACTGGTAATCCATCAGCCGTCGCACCTGGTCCACGGTGATTCCGCGATCCGAGTACACGGCGCCGATGCAGACGATCGACATCAACAAGGTATCGTGAGTGGTCCGCAGATCGAACGAGGGCTTGTGGATCATGGGGAAATGCTCCTCGAAGTGGGTGAAGAAAAGGGTCACGAAGTGCTCGACATGATTCGGACTGAGCCATGCCTTGAGATCTTCGGTATCGGCGTTTTGGTATTCCTTCTGAAGTTGCGATGATATCGGCGAGCCCGACGTCTTCTCCGAGAAGCAGAGGGCGATGATGCGGTCGCACTGGTGCTGGATGAGACTGGCGCTTTCGGCGATCTCGCTTTCCGGCCGCTGTAGCGGACCAGGGGGCGGGTACAATGACGCCAGAGTATCCAGTGGCTGGTTGTATCGCGGCGCAAAATTGTACATCAGAGTGTTGATTTCATCGTCATTCTGCATCATCCCCGCGATCGTAGGTGTTCCTATAGCTTGTGGCGTAAAATATGGGCCGGCGAACGGAGGGCCCAAGAGGCCGTTCCAGTCTACCACATCATTCCCCGCAGAAGTGGCGGTGGCAGAGGTGGCGGCGGGCAACGGTCTTCCATCCCTCGATCCGTAGGCAGGTGTTGGGGATGAGGATTGTCGCGCTTGATGTTTCTGGTGTCGCCGCTGCTGCGCATTTTCGTTCAGTTTCGAGCCACCAGCTAGCAACGAAGAAGCAGAAATAGAAGGAGAAGCCGATGACGCTGGGGATCGTTGTTCCAACCTTTGCTGTTGCTGCTGCTGGTTTAAGCCCAAGGAGTGTTGTTGTTCTTGGAGTGCTCCCCGGTCGGTCATATGTGCGTTGGGATGTCTCACAGGTGGAAAATGGAAGCCATCCCCGTGGCCAGCTGGCTGGTCGGGCGTCGAATCGAAATCTTGTCCTCCACCATCATACAGGTCGTCGCCATCCATCATTCCGGCGATGGGGCTCCGCTTCTGGTTCCTGAGATAGGTGCACACCACCCCTTTGGAGTCGCACTTGGCGCAGGGGGAACGAAGGTCGCACGCGATCTTCATGCGAGCGCAATGGTCGCACGCCTTTCCCGACCCCTTCCTCTCGCGCGACCCCGCGGCCGACACGCCGGCACCCGACGCGCCCCCCGGCGATCCCTCGGCCGACATTGACGTCACTGAGACGGCGGCGCCGGCCCTCTGCGCATCGGCAATCCTGTCGCGATTCCTCCTCGTCGCGTCGAGATGGCCGAGATTTTGCGGGTTCCCGCGCCGCACCGCGCACTTTTCAAAGTGCCGCTTCAGGATATCCGATCGCGCGAAGCTGTCACCGCACAGCCCGCACGTGTACGGACGGGAGCCAGAATGCCGCAGCATGTGCCGCTTCAGGTGCTTCGCATGCAGGTACGTCTTTTCGCAGTTTTGGCACCTGTACTTGCCGTCCTCGTCTTTTGGCGGCGAGATGCCGGCAGAGGCGGCGGCTGCGGCTGCGGCAGATGCGGCGGCCGCGGCGGAAGCGCCCCGACTCCCCTTTCTTCGCACCGGCGCAGTGGTAGCGCTGCTGCTCTCGCCATCTTCACCGCTCGCGGAAGGTGTAGACACCGCTGTGGCGTCAGCATTGTTGTTGTTGGGCAAGAGCAACCGGTTACCCGACATGATCCCGGAACCGTTACCGAACATGGGGCTGCCGGGAGAATTGCGCGTCATGGATTGTTCGCTTGATTGGGAGTGCGAATGTTGAGGCATCGGTAACAGTGGCGGTGGCGGCGGATGTGGTGCATGGGCGGAGCCATTGTGGAATTGGGGTAGGATATCTTGGTTGCGGTCATGGTGTGGTGGGTATTGGTAGAGGAGGAGGGAGTGCTGCTGCTGTTGATGTTGTTGTTGATGTTGTTGATGTTGTAGTCGTTGTTGTTGCGGAGGCTGGGATGGACGACCTGGCTGCTGCTCTTGCAATTGGCGTCGCGGCGGCGGCGGTTGAGGCGTGTACGCGATCAGATCGCTGAAGTCTGGCGGACCATTAAACTGCAAATGCGCGTTAGGGAGAGGGATTGAGTGGAGGATATTGTGGTGTGGTTGTTGTTGGGTTGGTTGGGGGAGTTGGTGGTGGTGCTGCTGGTGGTGCTGCTGCTGATGTTGTAAATGTTGTAACTGTTGCTGTTGCTGTTGCTGTTGCTGCTGCTGTTGTCGAAGATGTGGTGGTAGATGGTGGAACTGCATTGACTCCACTGGAGTTCCGGTGTGCTGATTCAGGCTCGTAGTGGAGTTTGTGACCGCGGATGAGGAAGCGGAGTTAGCGATGTGGATCCGGTGTTGTTGCTGCTGCTGCGTCTATTGAAAAGTGGATCCTCCTCTTGTTTTCGGTTGGCGGCAAGGTGGTGGTGGTGGTGGTGGTGGTGGTGGATAGTGGAAAGTCGGAGGTGGGAGACGGGATAGTAGTGGTGGTAATGGCAGTGGTGGTGGTGGTTGTAGTGAAGGTGGTGGTGGGGATAACTACAGCAATGACTGGCGGTCCACTTTCTCGTTGCTGATACTGGACCGCGGCTGGGCTGGGCTGGGCTGAAGCGAAGAAAAGTCTTGTTACTGTTGTGGGGTACGGGAGGAGTGGAGACTCGGTTGGGGGGTGCTGCAGAAGTCGATGGTGCTTCTGGGGGCTGAGACTGGTGTTGGTTGGGGGGGTATTTTTCTTGGTGCTGGATTGGGGAATCGTGGTGTTCAGGACGGGGATGGTTGGATCTGGTGTGGAGTGTGGGAAGGTGGATCCTGATGAAAGCGGCGATGGGGGGGTTTTGGTTAGTATGTGGTGGTTTGGGGTGGGAGCACCTTGTTCCCCGTGTCTTCCACTGCGTCTTCTAGTTGAGTGTTCCGTTGGTATGTATGATATGTATTATTATTCCTCAGGCGTAATGGTTGCTTCCGTGTTGGTGGAGGTGGTGGTGGTGGAGGTGAGTGGTGGTGGTGATGGCGGTGGTGGTGGTGGTGGTGGTGGTGGAGTTGGTTAATAATGATGATCAAAGCAACTGCATACGAGATTGTGGCTTGGGAGGGCAGTAATGAGTGGAAGGATTTTTATTTTTTTTGGAGGAAGGGGAGCGAACTACTGCATAACTACTCCCAGCGTCGTCGTCGTCGTCGTCGTATGTAGTCGTCGGGGTGTGCGTGTTGGATCGAGAAGAATTATCCGTGCAACTCGCGTTCGCGTGACATCCACCAGGGGTCGCGAATCGGGCGCACTTGAGACAATGATGATGATGATGATGGGGCGAGGGAGAGGACGGTGATGGTGGTATGTACCCTACATTCCTAGTGTACCGGCCGGCGGTGATGGCGAATGAAGGCTGGTTTGCTATTGTAGTTGTTGTCGTCGTTGCCGGTTGCGATGAGTGTGCTCCTCTTCCGTCGGCGTCGGTGTCGGTATCGTCGTCCTGTTCTTTTTCTTCGCCACCTTCTGACGAATTCCGCAGCCGTCTCCATCGACCTCTTCGCTTTCTGCATCCCATCCCCTTCGGCGGCGGCGGCATCTTGCTGCTATCTACTGCGGCTGCATCGGCTCGCACTAGTTATAGTAGCTCGAGTCGAGTTCGAGTCTACCTTCTAGTTAACCACTCTAGTCCGTGGGCTGATGATATGATATGATAGATAATTGCTGAAATCATATGGTGTCCCGGAAACAACTCGATAAGAAGCACCGGTCTTTCTCCTCCTTCTTCTCCTTCTCCTCCTCGCTTCAGAGCTCAACACGATTCCGATTCAGATCCGGAGTAGGCATCAAAACAGCGTTGCTCCTTCTGCTTTTTCTTCTCAAAGTCCGTCGGTTGTTGCCGGTGCAGCTGAGTCACGGGGAAAGCCGTGAAGCATTCCTGGTACCCAGCACTCGCCCTTTCCCCTTCCCCCTTCACTCACTCGCTCGGAATCTGTCCCTGGCCTCCCACGTCGTCGAACTACTGGCCAGCCGGGCCGAGCCGGGCGGAGGTCCACCAGGGGAATTCACGTCAAGCTGGAGGCCAGCGGTCTCGCAGATAAACGGTTATGTAACTGCCATGATCTAGAGCAAGTACCTACGAACAAGGTCGAACGACAGATGGAGAAAGAAAAGGCGGAAAAAAACTACCGGCGTGCCATGGCATTTGGCAGACCGAATGGACACTCGCAGCCCACACTCACCATCACCCTTCACATTTTTTTACCGCCGCCTCGAAAAATCTTCTGGCGTGCAGTGTGCACGAGATCTCGCACTCGCTCCCACGCGCTACATACGGTACGCTACTGATACATAGTGCCTCCCACCCCTCCCGAGTCCCGAATGCCAGCCTCGCGGCAGCTTCCGCGGCCTGTCCCTTCTTCTTCTCTTTCTTCTTCTTCTTCTTCTTCTTCTTCTTCTTCTTCTGCTCACCGCAACCCCAACCCTCACTATCCCAGAAACATGTAGCACTTATGTCTACTTAAGTCCGGTCTTCCGCGACACACAAAAAGTAGGGCGAACGAGGTTGCGAGGTCGGAGGGAGGGAGAGACCACCGGATATATGAATAACCACATACATACATAAGATGGATGGGATGAACCTGACCACGACCAATCGGCACGACCTCCCAGGAGCTCTCTCTCTCACCCACCCTTCCACTCACCCAACCTCTCGCTTCCGAACAGAATATAGTACCATACCTAGATGAAGAGAAAAGGAAGAGCGGGGATGAGACGGGAGGGTTGCTGGGATTTCGAGGGCTCCTTCCTCCTTGGCTGATGACCTACATATTTGTGCACTGCGAAAGAACAGACACGGACGGACATGGACAGACAGACGGCAGCTTGGCGGGCGAGGGAAGTGAGTGCACATGCGAATCGCCGGAAAAGACAAAGGGCAGACTTGTTCTTCATCTTCTTCTTATTCCTCTTCTTTCCTTTTGCCAGAGGGTTGTTTTTTTCTTTCTTTTTCCTCCTCTTTTTTCCTTTCTTTTTCGCGTAGTCCGGGGTTAGATTGGGGGGAGAGTTCTTAACCACCAACCGCGCCGAGGGCCGGATCGAGAGGGAGCGCGATCGGGGGCGAGGGGGGAGGCCCGAGGGGAAGCTGGAGGCCACGTGGTTTCCCGCCCTCTAGTTAGGTGCCGGACTTCGAAGAGGTAATCGCTCCAGCCGCGCGCGCGCTCACTCACTCCACGTATCTGTGTAGAGTTGTAGAGTATCTCCGTCGCTCTACTCCGAGCACATAAATATGTAAGTCGGTAGGTAACTACTGGACTGCGGGAGATCGAGTCTGCAATGGCAGAAGCATGTACATAGAGTACTCTATGTATGTAACTAGAGTAATCTGGCGATCGTGCTGGTGCCCCCTCTGTTGGCGGGTTGGCGGAATGCAGAGGCTGGGGAGGAGGAGCTGGGGGACTCGGGGGGTGCATTGGAGGGTCTCACTCGTGGCAGGCGGCCTGGATCTCACCGATCGTGTCGGTGCGACGATGCCGATGCGAGATTCCAATATTCTAAGATTCAAACCCTGAGCTGGGTGCATAGGTACTTAAATACTTATGCAGGGACTGGCTACTGATCGTTGAAACCGTTATTACTCCGTCTTCTTCGCCTTCGTCTTCGTTTCCGCTCCGAGTCCCTTCTAAGTTCTTCCATTCTAAGTTCCTCCCTCCTTGAGTCCTTGCCGGCTGTCCTGTCAGGAACCAAAAAAAAAAACCGCCAGGATCGGATCTCCCTCTCTCATGCAGAAGCACGAATACCTAGCTTGTAGCTTGTAGGCCCTACATAATAGTTCCCAAGCCTAGCCCTTCCCTTTCTTCCTCTTATTCTTCCGCCTCTTCTTTTTTCCGTGTCCGTATCACCAAGTCTCGGCCTTTACATACTCTAGAAGCATGTATGTAGACTCGAAACTGCCGCGCGCACAGCCGCCACACGGCAGCAACTTCCTCCTTCGATCGAACGGCCAAGAACATGCAGGGCGTTCAACCCCCCCCCCTCCCCCCCTGCCTCACGCGTCTCGCCTGGTTTTGGTTTGATGCTGAGTATATAGGTATATAGTAGTGGGGGGTACTGCAGGGATGGCGGTCGCTGAGTTCTCCGATCTTTGTAGGGTTGTAGGTCTGGAGGTGGTGGTGGTGGGGGTGGGGGTGTATCTTACGTCTAGATGTGGTACCTACCGAAGCAAGTGGTGGGTATGTCGTGACCGGGCACATAATATACTCGTGTATGAGGTAGCTGGTAGCTGGTACTTGGCGGATCTCGTCCACCGCCAGCCAAAGCAAGCCATCACACAAGTGATCACTCGAGACCGAGAGTTGAGACCGAGAGTCGAGACCGAGTGCGGAGCGGGAGCAAGCTTGTAAGTCGTCTATCGGCCGAGAATGCGGTTTGTATGTACATATTTGGCTGTCTCTCGGTCGTCCGTCCATCCGTCCGTCCGGGAGAAATGTTCGGACGGACTGGCCAAGATAAATCGAGGGCAGGATGGACTGCAGTCCAATACCAAGAAATGCAGAATGATCGTACGTTTCAACTTCTACATCCAGATGGGATTCTCGGGGACGGCAGAAGTAAAGAAGCAAACACTCAAAGCTGTCGAACAGCCGTACATGACCGTAACCACCCGAACTACCTAGGCACTCAACGAGGGAAGTTTCAGCACCCAAAGGTATTTTGTTTCTTCGTTGGTCATAAGTGCAACCAAGTGCACATCATCGGACGGCAGTCGACTGCAGTCTGTACCCAA